CACTCTGCCATTGCGTTCCCAATGCCTTCTTTATGCAGACGACACCACCATGTATGCCTCTGGAAAGTGTCCACGAATTCTCATGTCTTACTTAGAAGACGATTTTTCAGTGGTTAAGCAGCACCTCACAGATCGCGGCCTGCTCCTGAACTCCAGCAAGAGCCAAGTACTACTGATCCACAGCAGACGCTCACATCCCCCACCTAACCTGAGCATTGTCTGTGGTTCGACTGTTATTGCCCCGTCTGACGAAGTTAAGTATCTAGGACTGACTCTCGATTCAACTTTAAGTTTCAGTGCCCACGTTAACTCCCTCAGGGAAGACATCGGAAAGAAACTAGGTGCTTTTCGACGTGGAAGGAGGAACCTTGCTGTCCAGGCCAGAAGGCAGTTCTACTTGTCAGTAGTCCAGAGCAAGCTCGAGTACGCCAGCACTGCCTATGTCCACTGCCTCGCTGACAATGTGAGAGATCAGCTGCTACGCATAAGTAAGAGAGCCCTTAGATGCATATTTGAGCATGACACATTCACGCGGACATCATACTTGCTTGAGCGATACCACATAATTAGCTTAGACAAAAGATATCATACTAAGTCCATATTCTTCGTGTTCCGTTGCATCCACAATATCTGCAGTTCACTCCTCTCTGACATGTTCTCCCTTCGCCGTGACTGCGCTCACACAGACAGAGTAACCCGCGGCCAAGTCAATTATTCCCTTTCCTTACCCATTGTGCAAGCCCAAGCTGGATACAGATCTATTTCATTCCTTGGTGCTGACCGCTTTAATGCGCTTCCCGAATCCCTTCGCACAAATCATATCCCCAATTCATTTCGCCAGGAACTTAACAATTTCATTCATCTTGGGCACCCTGTAAGAAGACCTTAGGGTCTGTTGGGAATGCCCAAGTAAAATAATAAAATACAATACAATACAATCAGCAAGTGTGTGGAGCGCCACTCTCCATGCTATCGCCATTACCAACACTACTCGTAGCCCTCAAACCGGGTTTGTCAGTGCCGCAGCGAGCCGCCGCCATGGCTGCATGTGGCACACAACAGATTGACACACTCCATGCCGCTGACATGGATGAGGTAAGCGATGCACACCAGCAGCTCGTGTTGGAAAGTCAGATTGAAGTCTGGAAAAAAACATTACCCTACTGCTAGCCCTGCCCCTGCAGTGTCGCCCGCTGTGAAATCCGATCGAGCGACTCAACATTGCGACCTGCACCACTTGAACAGCGCTGTGTTCGTAGGCCTAGGGCGGGGCAGCGCCCCAGCACACACAATCATCATGTACTTGACTGGCGCGATTGAATTTCACTGAGTAGCGCTGCTACTGCTAGGGTACTACTGTAAGGATACCAGGGGTGAAACAGCCAGACAATTAATTTGGAATAAACGAGCGGTTAAAACAGTTTGCACAATGGTTAGATGCCGAAGTATTTCGCAACTTATGCTTGTCGCAACCATGCCAACACAAGTGAAAGTTGCTGAAATCGCATCCATATTTTCAGAAAAAGCTCAAAAGTTGCTCATATCGCAACTCAAAATGGATACCAAAAACAACCAATAGGAGCGGAAATGGAAAACACTGTGGCGCAGCACAACCGCTTGAGTGAGGTCATGCCTAATTTGATGTACATACCGTATTTCCACAAATAGTAGGCCGGTCTACTATTTTTTCAACCTCGTCCTAACCAGGCCTTATAATCGAGGACGGTCTTGTATTCGAGGATGGTCTTTTATTCTTTCAACCTAGTTTGACCCCGGTCTTCTATTTCTCGCCACACAGTTTTACCCCCGTTCTTCCATTTTCTTCTACACAGTTTGAGCACGGTCTTCTATTTTTTCCCACAGTTTGAGCACGGTCTTCTATTTTTAACACAAGAACAAAGACTCATTTAGTAGGCCCGGTCTTCTAATTGGGGACGGTCTTTTATTTTTTTCAATCGCCCCCTGCCCCGGCCTTGTATACGAGGAAGGCGTTGTAAACGAGGACGGCTTTTTATTTGCGGAAATATGGTATGAATGCATGAATACATATGTTCACATAGTAACACATGTTAGCTATAGGGAAATGAACAGACTTGGAATGGGTCAGTGTCCTCTTTGTTGAACCTTCGCACAGCATGATTCATGACAATGGGGCATGCTCGGGTGCTACCACATAACGACGTTACCGTGACCCGTACATGTACAATGTATGTGTACTTCGAGAAGTACACTTGTCATGATGATTTGATGCAATGTCTCACTGATTCTTCAAGCACTAAAGCGGAGCATCACGAACACTTCAATAGTCTCCTCCAGGGCGCTTCTCTGCACACACGGGTGCGGAAAAGTTGCAAAGTACTTTGTGAAAATGAAGAAAGTTGCGAAAGTTGGGATTTCTTCCAAAACAACCAAAAGTGGTGAGCATCTTTGCGAAAGGGCTACCAGCACCAGGAGCCAATACTGTGAGTGTTGTGCACAATGGTTGCATGACAAATTGACAATGCAGTTTAGTCAAAAAGACATTTGACTATTGAGCGTTACTCAAATCTGTGGACAGCAACTGTTTCGCTCTGTTAGAGCTCCTCAGCACAGCTCAGAGGACCGAAGCGCAGCTCTTCGCAATGAAATACGTTTCCGTGAAGCAAAGCATTTTTATAAAGAGCTGCAAACCCCGCCAAGAGTGCTCGAAATGCTCCAAGAGCAGTGAGCGTTGCACAAGGCGAGCGGCAAGGGTTCGCGCTAAGGCGCTAAGGTGAGAGTGCTCAACCTAACGACATTGCTGACTGCTAGGGAGCATAATACTCAAATCTGTGGACAGCAACTGTTTCGCTCTGTAAGAGCTCCTCAGCATACCAACTATTGAGCGTTATAAATTAATCAGGAGTCTTTAAAAAAAATCTGAAATCAGCTCTGAAATATTGAGCAAGTGAGAACCTGTGCCGATTACTGTATAACACCTTTATTTCGGTGTAATTTAAATTTCGGTAACTTCGGTACTGGTCCTGGATCACCTAATTTAACATTACACCTAAATTTTCCGAAATACCAAAAAATATGTAAAAATCATGAAAATCACTGTCAAATTAAAAAAATTAACTTGTATACTGGTATACCGGTAGTACATTGTACATACATAACATGTACCGGTATTATGTGGAGCCTTTTGGCCTTGGCGGAGATAATTATTATTAGTGCAAGAGCGTTTTTTGTTTTTTTTTGTTTTTTTTTGGTGCCATGCATACCGAATTTATCCTTACACCGAAAGGTCAGGGGTTGGCTTTTACCGAAATTTTACAACACCGAAAATAAGGTGATATACAGTACCAGATTACACAAGTCATAATGTAGTGTAATTTTGTGTTGTCACGGCATTATTTTTGCTCTATGGTACATGAACGTAGGGCCGGGATGCACAGTCATGCAGACACTGTATTTGGGAAACTCAACAGCTGCACTAATGGGAATTTCAGTCCAAACAAAGGCTTCAGTTTCCTCCTTTGATAGGCCTAGAGTCTGAGTTGATCTGTGCAACTGTAGCAAAGGATTATCGACAAATTGACTCTTTGGTTCAAGTCCTGGTGGTGACAGTCGAGTTTGTCTTCAGACTTTTCCCTTTTTCCATTCCCTCAACTTTTGTGAAGTATGCAAGACTAAACTCGGATGTTGAGCCAATAATAAAATAATTGTTGCACATTCTGACTGTATATTATAGTATTTTAGTTACAGTGGTAGACAGTCACCCTTTTAAAATCGTAACCATATGCTCCTTTCTTTGCTCTAAGTATGTAAAAAGAAAAGAGAAGAGGACCTATAAGTTACTTATTGTGACTTTCTCTTAGGGTGCATTCTTAAATCCTCTCGGAAAAGTTGGAGACTCTCCAAAAGGTTCGAGAGCTGTTCCTATATCCTCTCAGAATTTGAGGAGGCTCTCCAAAGCTCTCCAAGCTTCGGAGGTGGTTGAAGCTTGGAGATTCACGCGGTTTGGGATTGACGCATGCAAACTACAGCTAAAAGCCACGTGTTAATCATGAGTGTACGCATTTCCCTTTTCGCATACACACAGTGCGTACTACATCCGTGGCACTCAAGATCGTGGCCCTTTGGCGCTCCACATGTGCTAAATATCTCCGAATTCTTCTAGACCCGTTCTTTAATTATACCAGTTTCTTCGGCTTCTCTTTTCTTCTTCTCGGAGAAGCTAGAGAATGTAAGAACGCACACTAAGGGTGCGTTCTTATATTCTCTAGCTTCTAGGAGAAGAAGAAAAGAGAAGTCGAAGAAACTGGGATTATTCAAGAACGGGTCTCGAAGAATTCGGAGATATTTTGCACATGTCAAGCAAAATGAAGCGCCAAAGTGGCCGCGATCTTGAGTGATGAATGTAGTATGCACGTGTGTGTATGCGAAAAGGGAAATGCGTACACTCATGATGAACACGTGGCTTTTTAGTCGTAGTTCGCATGCGCTGATCCCAAACCGCGGGAATCTCCAAGTTTCAACCACCTCTGAAGCTTGGAGAGCTTTGGAGAGCCTCCTCAAAGTCGGAGAGGATATAAGAACAGCTCTTGAACTTTTCGGAGTCTCCAACTTTTCCGAGAGAATTTAAGAACGCACCCTAAGTATGCACGATATTCCGAGGGTCTCCTTTTCTTATCCGAATGGTGAGTATGAAAGTGAAAGTGCTGGGTCTAAAAGTCTCCTTCATCTCAGTGAGTATTTTCGCCATATCAACTGCCTCCTGTGCTTGGCTAAACAAACAAACAGTACGTGTTTCATGCGGTCACACTTTGTCCAATGTGCTACTGCAGATACCAGCGGAAATTCGCGCTGACCTGTATGACCTTGCCGCCAAGTTCAAGGAGAAGCGTATATCACTGGGTCTCACACAATGGCAAGTTAGCCTGACTATCGTCCCCATAGACAAGCTGCTCAAATCTGGGGATTCCCATCAGAGCACTATTTCTCAATTCGAAAACCTGACGCTCAGCTACAACAATGTCAAGAAGTTGCGTCCCAAAATTCAAAGTTGGATGTCGCTGGAAGATCAACTAGTATTGGCACTATGTGCATCTGTATCTAATTATAATACCATCGGCTCATCACGAGCTCCCAGTGGTCAAGTCAGTACTGGGTATAACCGTGTTGCAAGGAGTAATGAAATGGTTATCGCAGAGCCCAGTGCCACAGTCAACTCTGCTGCTGCTGCTGCTGCTAAAATGCAGCCTGCTAGAGTTCAGCCCAAAGCGTTCAGTCCAGTTCCGCCTACTACAACACATACACGCGCCCTACAGCACTCTCGCGCAACAGCGCAGCAACCTGCTGCAATGGAAGGCATGTATATGGCAGGTGCAGGATATAGCACAGACTGCGCAAAGGCCTATCATCAACCACACAGAACTGATTCCCATGGTGCCCAGTTAAGTTCTGCTAATCTCCAGTTGACCGCATACTATCATGCTGACCTAAGCGTGCCGGGGGCTTCTGAGCATTTACCTCCCATACCTCCGGTGGATACCACGACACAATCACATAGCATCACGATGGCCTGCCAGGGCCTTGATAGCAAATGCACCATTGTCTCTTTGCACTAGCAGCTGACCAAACGAGGCACTAAGTCGACAACCTCAAGCCAGCACACTTCAGAGGTTGAGCACTATTAGCAGCATCGATGGCAAATCAAAAACCTTCTTCTTTTCGTCTTTATCTTTCTCCCAGAGCTACATGTCGTTGAATATAAGTACTGTGAATGAAACAACTATAAAAGAAAGACTAGGAGCCTAAAATGGTGCCAAGAAAAATCAGCATACACCGTGTTGTGTCCGGAAGAGAATCGTACAAACGAGATGTGTATTGGACCTGGTGGCTCGCTGAAAAAAATTCAAAATGTACCTACAAGCTCAGAAATGATGCAAAAGCAATGCAATGTAAGTCTTACCAGTTAACATCACATTGGACCAGGGTGTCGCCACACTGGGTTGGCCATATGACCAAGTGCTGCTGCTGCTCCTGGTGGAGGTGGTGGCATCAGGCCAGGATGATGAGCCATACCAAGCGGCAGGGGCATGCCCATGGGGCCAGGCGGCAGCGGTGGTGGCGGCTGTGTGGACGGCTGCACCGGCGGTGGTGGGGGCATCTGCATGTTGCCGCCCACAACGCCGCCGCCGGCGCCACCCTTGTCGCGGAACTGGCTGTCCCGCTGCGCCTTTGGCGGCGGCGTTTTCGGCCGCAGGTTGTCAATCTCCTGATGAAAGCCGAGCACCTTGTCCTCGTTCTTCTCGAAGAACGACCGGTACAGGTCCAGGTTGAGATTGGAAGAGGTGAGGTCGGGACCGAGACTAAGCCATCCTGGAAACATACATACAGTATACGTACAAATGGTATTCATTAGTACCACCAGGGAGTAGAGTACCATATCTTACTGGGAACAGCCGACTGGATAACGGGTTAGCAAAACGCCAGAATAGGGAAAAAAAGTCAGTTTGCAGAGCCACCAACTATCCACTGACCTGGCCGCAACGTGGTATCGGATGCAAACAGGTGGAGACGACGGCGGCCCAGGCAGAAGTTCTCGATGATGCTGTAGATTTCCTCCGGCTTCTCTGTGCTGTTCAGAGGCGGCTCCTCGCCGATGATAAGGTCGAGATCCATGTTGGCGTGAATGAAATGGTGATCGACCGACCGACGCACCGTACCTCGGATGCCTGTAGACAAGGAGAGAGAAACAAATTACTCAAATGTATTGCCATTCAACAACCAGTCCGCAATGTGTCACGGTGGGTGCAATGTCGCACAACATAGTATTACAAAAAAAGTTCACAATGACGATTCGAAGTCTGGAGAAAATGTTGAACAGTCTCTGCTGGGATGACAGCTACACCATAGCTCAGTGGTTAGAGCATCGCTGTCCCCAAGTGAAGGTCTCTGGCTTGAGTCCTGGTCGTGACAGTCACTTTTCTTCAGACTTTTTTTCTTTTTTCCATTCCCTCAACTACTAGTAGTGAATACAATGCCTGCAGTTAATTAATTCGAAAAAAGACGTCACGGACAAGTGTTTCTTTTGAATGCAAATGGACTAGGGTTAGAATTCTTCAGAACTGTGTCCGCAGCTTGTTGTCAGTCCGATGTGGAAAGTTCTTCCACTTTGTATTGAGGACAATTCCTTTGAAACGCGGACCTCAATAAAATATTTCATCCACGTTCTGCCTATTGCAGAAGGGTTTGACATCGATAAAATGTATAAACATGCTGGTCCAAAATCCTATTTCAGACCGAAAAAGAATATGGCGGTGACCCAAATTCAGCCAAAATCGGATTCGATTTCTTTTGCCCAATTCTCATAGCAAGTCCATTCCCAAGATTGGGTTCAACAGTGAAGATACAAAAAAGGTGACTCCATTGGATCAACTGAATGAGTGTTGGAATGTCCAACTTCCACGGCGTACAGAAAATAGAGTAGTTGTACGAATCCCCTACAAAAAAAACAATGGAAATCTAGAAAAAAAGTAAGAAAAAACCACCTGATGATGACCTTACCCATCAGGCAATGCTCCTTGGCGTGCTGTAAGATGCTGGCGCCCTCAAGGTGGTCGTTCTTGGGGTCATTGGAAGCTGTCCGATTAGTTTTGATCCAGCAGATGTCCTCACAACGTCTGCCATATCAAGAGCACAGGGTAACAAAGACACAGAATAACGCACACAGAGTGAGAGACAGACAGAGACAGACAGAGACAGACAGACAGACAGACAGACAGACAGACAGACAGACAGACAGACAGACAGACAGACAGAGAGGGAGAGAGGGAGAGAGAGAGAGAGAGAGAGAGAGAGAGAGAGAGAGAGAGAGAGAGAGAGAGAGAGAGAGAGAGAGAGAGAGAGAGAGAGAGAGAGAGAGAGAGAGAGAGAGAGAGAGAGAGAGAGAGATGCAGACATTTCGGCCCTCAAACTTGACCCGGACGACTCACCGATAGCCCCATTTCTTGAGGCAGTCACGTCCCTTATCCAGCATACTGGACGCGCCGCACCACAGAAAGCAATAGCTTGGAATGCCACCCAAGTGCTCAATGGGCAGATCCATGATCTCCTCGATGCTCCAGGCACGCTGACGCAATCCAGACATTCGATGCTGGTATTCTTCCAGAGGGGGATCAATCAGGATCACATCAAACAGCATGTCCTGAGCGACAAGTACCAAACACACAGAGAGGGAAGCAAGGAGAAAGTCCATGTGTTACAGGCAGTAACTATGCTGGCGAGAGGCGCTGTGGAGCAGAGTTTTCAATTTAAGGCTTTAGAAAACTACCAACATCCCCAAAACTCAAAATGGTCCATGGTAATTTTGTAGAAGCACACATTACTTCTACGAGACAAAACGTGTGTACGGGGTGGTTTGGCTTTTTTTAACATGGTTGTAAAATGACGTTTTTTCAGTCACTTCTAGACAAGCTACGTCCAAATGAATTGTTGCAAGTGGAAGTGCTATCCTTCATGCCCGTTGTGTCCAAAAATGGGAATGATTCCACTTTGGAAAGTGTCTTGAATCATGTCCTACTTTCATTGTATTCTCAGGATTCAAATAATTGGTGTGTCATTTTTTAACAAATTTGTAAAATGGCATCACAAACTGGGATATTCGGTCATCAATGTTCTGAAGTTGATAGATATCACTTCAAGGATTGCTAGTGGATGAAATTAATCTATCAACAGAGGAGTGAACTGCATTGTATGCTGCGAAACCCGTGTTTTTGTATTTGTAACTAGTGGCTGTGTTATACGGTGGAATTGGATAGATAGCATAGCATCGCAGCGATGTTTTCGTTCTCACAGAGTGTATTCCGTGACCTACTGTTCTTCATTACTGTCTCTAGTGATGGCAAGACGGCCTGACGTCGTCCAAAGGCCCTGCGGAAGCAATTCACTGCCCTCCTCGTCCATTCAGGGGCTCATTTTACACATTTTACACAAAATGGCAAAGCACCCACCACTAGTTATACCAACGTGGCAGGGAGAATTAAATTATATGCACCAAATTTTCTGGTCAATGTTGATCTACGATAAACTGGCTCTCATTTGCCACCACCCATGTTTCGATACAGCCATCCGGAGCAGAGAAACAGCCAGAAGAAAAGCAAATTTTACACATTTGTTAAAAAATGCCAAATGTTAAAAAAAGCCAAATCACCTCGTACCGGTACACTACATGTCAGAGGATCCAACAGAAAGAAAAAAGGTTTAAAAAAAGTTTTTGAAAACTCTCATCACTATCAGATACCAGTGCGGAACATTACAAGTGCTGCTTACCAGAGAGACAAAGTCAAAGTCCTCAAGGTTACACTTGTGATACATGGGCGGCGTTGCCCGCTGGACAAGCAGCTCCTTCTTCAGCTTCATCAGCTCGTGAAGCTTGGGATACTCGGCGAAGCGCTCTTCAATCGACGGGTCTCGGATAAAGTTCTGCGGCCTTTGCCGTGTGTCGACAAAATGTTGACAGTAATCATTGTGAGGGTTCTCTGAATGAGTCCTGAGGGGGCCACAAAACAAACAAACAAAAAGGTTATGAAACCTGAGGTACTCAGGCGTGTACTCGACATGAGATGTAGCTGACTCGATTTGGACAAACTGGTACTAGGACCGATCTCTATCAATAAGCCTTATGCACGTTGTACGGATGCACGAAATCTCGTAGAATCTCGTAGAATCCCGTAGACCCGGTTGGGTATTGAATGCGCAGCACCCTATTGTGTTTTCTACTTTTCCCACTAAGAAATCGGCTGAAGGCGTTTCATACGAAAACTTTTTTCTGACTGAGATCTAGCTAGTTGCTAGTTCTAACCAAAGTGAAGAAACTGGAAAAGGGATTGTTTGCCATTAATTATGAGGCTAAAATTGGTCAAATGCGAATGCATAGCACACAATGAACACCCAACCGGGCCTGTACACACCTACGGTCCTAGTACAGAACTGCGTACATATGTACAACGTGCATAAGGTCTATTCGAATCTCCCATTACGATATCTGATAATTCGAACCTTGAACGTTGCTGAAATTGATATACGAAAACGGTGTTCAGTGTTTTTGCAGAGTGATGCGAACGAGCTCGTCAGCTCAAATGCCTTTCTTCTAAATGAAACTGCAAGAAGCCTCACCCTTACTTCTGAACTGGGGATGTCCGGTTAATTAGAAGTCCCACAGAATTAACTTACATCGGAAATGTGTGGGATTTCTGCTGCTAACAGTTGGCAAAGCATAGTTCGAAGTTGACTGCAAATTGTACAAGGCAGTTCAGTGTGCAGGAGCAGGCTGCACTATCCTGTTCAGTGTCCGCGAAAATCTGTGTCTAAGGTGCATAGCGCAACTCTGCGTGAAAATGCGAGCATTTTCACATACATCATATGCTGTGGGTGCATGTTTGGATAATTAGAATGTCTGGATAAGTAAAGGTTTTCCCTGCCATTTTGGGGTTCGAATTATCAGGATTCCACCTGAATTAGAAAGGAAAGTACACAAAATACAAGAAATTGCGGCCAATAGATAACCCGCCACAGGCCATGCTTTTTGGCTCACGCAGATCGATGTTGACCATCGGAACATCTGCTGCATGTCATGTTGTACAAATCGTACACAATTTTACAGCTCTCCCCAGCCTAGCTTTCCAGACAGGTTCTTAGGTCCCGTTCCGTCAGTGTTCGTCGAATGTGAACTAGGCTTCAGCCAAAAAGAATCCTCAGAAATCAGTGGGTGTCCTCCTCTCCCGGGTTTATACGACTCTCTGGGCAGAATCCATTGTTGAAGAAATCAAGAGTAGATAAACAAGAGTGTGCAACTCGCGGATGGGTTGGCCTACGGCGGGATTCTTGTTGGCGTAATCTCTCCCATGACGCACGCGCTGTGAGTCTTTTGGGAATTTTGCCTCGTGCACTTGGCTGGGCTTTGCATTACAAGGCCGGTGCCCAGCAGGTGCTCTCACACTGCTCTGCAGCAAAATGTGCGTGTTTTCTGAAAAGGTGACGTCAACAAAAATGTCCGCCGTGGGCCGGGGTATCTGCAGATTGTGCAGAAGAAGCGGAGTTGCACACTATTGTTTATCTACTCTTGATGAAACATAATGCGATGCGAATGCATCAATTAAATGTGGGAAATGTTAAAATACACGTACCCTTTCAGAAAAGCTGAGGAATCAGTGTAGACTTTTTCTGATAATTCTACATCCTCTGACGATCGCCTCCGCACTCGTGTAGCCTGGGCATGTTGTTCTCCATCAGGTCCTTTAGCCACTTCATTGCCACGTATTCCCACGTCGCTTTCAGAACTCACTACTGCCCGATCAGGGGCGAGTCTGGGGATTTTCTGAGGAGGAAGCACATCTCTGGCTTCAGCTCGTTCTTCTTGACTTGCCAAAGCCTTGGTCAATCCGTCTGCATCATCCACGCCAAGCTGGAGAGCCAGAATTTCTCGGCGTTTGCGCGACTTGGCCTTCAGAGCCTCCAGTGGGCTCGCCATTTTCACACACACACTTTCATGGACTGACTGTGTGTTGTGTATGTTTTTGCTTCTGTATGAATTTTTGAATCCATAAAATATCTGCAGGTGCAATCACTGATCATACGACACATTTTTGTGGTTTCACGCAAAAATGCACCCAGTACTGATTTTTTTTGTAGTTTTGTTTGTGACATACAGTCTAGTCATGATTGTATGCTGCCTGATCTGATGTAGCCATAAACTGGGCCAGGAAATATGACTTGTATTGGTGGGGATGGCGGTTCCTGTAGAAGTGGGCATGTGCAATGTGTGAAAGTTGGCTTTGAAGCAGAAACCACATGACCGTACAGACTTGGCCGAGTGGCAGCCGCATCATCCTCATGGAGAATGGTCAAGCTCCCACGACGATCAGATCATCACACGTGGGTGGCTCTCAACAGGAGGCTGGCAGCCCTTGAAGCGTTCCAATGTTACGACACCACCGGCAGTGAGTTGAAGATAACAACGGCCGATGGCAATAGAGTATAAAGTTACTATAAACTGAACACTGGGCCAGTGAGGACAAGTAACAGGTAATCCATAATGCAATGGTTTTAAAGATATCCGACAACCCCGGCCCTCTCTCTCACTCTCACTCTCACTCTCTCTCTCTCTCTCTCTCTCTCTCTCTCTCTCTCTCTCTCTCACGCACACACGCACGCACACACGCACACACACACACACACACTGAAAAGCACTGCTCGATATTGACACTCGATGTAGATTATATTACCGGTATGTGGCTAACGTGGGGATTTGGAAGTCACACTGAGTAGGTCACGGGGCAGTGGGCCTACCAATCAGCAAGGAGCAGCGAATATCAATCCTTCGCAGATGCTTGCCTATGGCCGGTCGAGCACTAGTAGATCTACATGGTTAGCAATGCAAAAGAACAGGAGAAGCTGCGATCCGTCAACTTGTTTTTGATATTTTTTTATAGCTTGGACCTTTAGTGGTTTGTTCTCGCATAAGGATTATTACACACGAACGTATTATAGATGGAGCAGAAAATACCTGATTGCTCTGAGCATCGCTATCATAAATTCATAATCGTGGTTCACATGTTGTTGCAACTTGAACTTGGGGGGGGGGGGGGGGGGGGGCGGCGCAGGTGTACTAGCAGGTGACACCACAGTGTCCAGGTAGATGCCAGAGACATTCATGATGGGTCCATGAAGACATTCAGGATTTTGTTGGTAGAACATCGACTGCGACTATTAACACTGCTGTGGATTTAGTGCATTCTACTGTTGTGGCGCACAGCCGGCACACGGACCGGCACACTTAGTTACATGTAGCTGTGCTGAGCCAGTATCTGATACATCATCTCCTCCATGTCGAGACCATCTGACTGGTGGTCGTCGCCTTGAGTGAAGCAGCGGGCTTCTTCCTCGTCGTCTTCATTCTCACCGTAATCAGCACTTTCGTCATGCTCCGCGCCTTCCCCTGCCCTGCACCGGGGAATGGTCACAAGAATCAGAGCAATTTGCGTCATGATGTACACACACACACACACACACACACACACACACACACACACACACACACACACACACACACACACACACACACACACACACACACACACACACACACACACACACACACACACACAATGGAACCCACACCTAATTATAGAAGCCAGGGTCAACGTTCTGCAATAAGTTACTAGCACAGGTGGGATCCTGATAATTCCAACCCAAAAATGCCAGGGAAAACTTCTATTCACTGGTTTGAGGGAAAGACGGCACAAAGGGGAAAAGACTGAAAAAATTGACTGTCACCACCAGGATTCGAACTTCTAATAATTATTTATAATATCTGGATATTCTAATTATCCAAACATGTACCCACAACACATTATCTATGTCAAAAATCCTCGCATTGACATGCAGAGTTGCACTACGCACCTCAGACACAGATTTAGTGGACACTGAACTATCTGCGCTGAAAACCAAACTGATTTGAAGAAAATAAAGTGAACTTCGAACTATGCTTTGCTAACTTCGAATTATCAGCACAAACCCCACACATTTTCTATGTAAGTGGATTCCGTGGGACTTCTAAGTAACCGGACATAGTTCGAGGTTCGGATTATCAGAAAAAAATGTGTTTGAGGTTCGGATTATCAGAAATTGTTATGTGGAAATCGTATTGATAGAAATCGGTCCCAGAAGAAACTTCTAATTGAGCCATATACGAATTATCAGGATTCCACCTGTACCATAAAGTACCACCAGAGCGCCTCACCTTGATTTTACAGCCATGGAAAGGAAAATCGTATGGCAGAGTGCAACGAAGTGTGTGCGGTGTGAGAACCTTAGTGTACTAAGGTCACACTTAGCAGGTTTTTGTGTGGAGCTCGTGTCCGCTTGAAGGTAAATTCAGTACGGATTGACTGGACAACGTGCAATGTGTGTACATGGTTCGTGTCGTATAACCTACAGACAGGACACCACCTCCACAATGCGACCACGAAAGGACGAGCTGGTGGGGCGCTCTTGCGGTACATTACGCTAATTGAAAAGAGCGTGCAGTAGTGCATTCATTTAAAAAAAACTGTCACCCTTACTGTTTTGGCATCTCAGATGTAGTGGCAAATACAGTGACAAAAACTGTACATGTACTGCATTGCAATGTCTGTGCAAGTCTTCTTTACCATAATTTCAGGTTGGAAAGTCAAAGACCAAAAACTTACAAATTCAGCCAAGTTTTACAAATTAGGACAGATGCACATTGGCCAAGTATAAGGGAAAGCATATCCAAACCCCAAAGTTTTAGGTTTAGAAGTGAGTTGTTGCCTTGTTGGGCCTAAATTCAGTCAAAGCCCACGGGACCACTTATTATAAGATTGGACTGCAGATTTACTGTGTGGAATTTCACTGCAAAGGAAATGAGAAAAATAATAATTCAAAGCATGGGTGTGTAAGCTTCTCTCTTGCAACTTCACCTACATGCGGGAGAAGAATGTCGTGCACATCTCTGCGATGGCGAATGCTTCTTCACTACTTGCACGGCTATCATGGAAAGGCCATCCGAGGAGAGATATGAAGTTACGAGTGTACTGGTGAAGTGCTGGCTCGCTGGATGTAGGCAGTAAAGCAAAACAAAAGGAGGACCAAAGCTTGCACTACAGGCACTATAACCTAGTATAAGCTTGAAAAGCACTACTTGAAGTACTGGACATGTCATCAAGACTGCATAAAGAAGAGTATGGAACTGTGGTTATGGGTTCGTGCGCGGTGCGCTGCCTTCATTACGTAACTTGCCTCCATCACGCTCTGAAAGCATGCTCAAACCCACCATTTCTCGTACGAGCATATCCGTTTTGCTCGATTCGTTCGAGTGCCTACGCGATCTCTAAATTTTGGCGCGTGAACCCCAATTCCGTACGAAAGCTCATTTCAAACCAGAGGGAAAGTGTGGTGTTCGATTTTCCGGAGTGCGCAGGCTGCAGCTGAATGTGATGAAGGCAGCGCACCGCGCACCTGGCCCATAGAAAAGAGATCACAGTTGCATACTCTTGTTTATGGACTCTTGATGTCATGCAGTATTACTTAAGCACTGGTCCTACACTAGGAGCCAAATGAGTGCAGACACAAAAAAAGATTGTCAGCCAAATGGATTTCCTTTCGGTGTGTCAGAAGTTGGAAATTATTCCCTTCCCTTATTCCCATGCTAGTAAAGGTTGCCTTGCAATATGCCGCTCATGAGTGACCATATGCAGCACGTGGATTCCTCTCATTCAATGGCTACGGAAACAAAGAAAAGAGAGGAAAGAAGGCATGTTTGGGGTTCCTAACAGCCGCTTCACAGTCATTCGCGTAAAAGAAGATACAAAAACATTACAATTCTCACACAGCAATGGTGCAACCAAGTCCTTTTTTGCCGTTACTCAGAGTTTCATGTTTGAATAATGCTCATCAGACAGCTGCATGATTGCTGTGTGAGAATTGCATTACTGGCTCTGTCCAATGAACATAGAGCCCTATTGAAGCCTGAGGATTTTTGTCTAAAAATATCACTGGTATTACCGTATACTGTATAAGCAGAAAATTTCGTCGGTCAATAATTTCGTCCAACTCCAAAGAAAGAGAGTTTGTCCGGTTGTAAATTTCGTCCATGGATCATAAGAGTGTATTGAAAAGCTCGACAAATCAATATTAGTCCGGAATTTTTGAAAAAGACGAAATTAAATTCCAGACGAATATTTCTGCTTGTACAGTATAGCCCTCCCATCCGCCTCAAATTCTCAGGAAAATCTTGCTGTAAAAATCGATATATTTTAGTAGTGCTGAAACGATTACGTTTTTTCCTTAGTGGCTTAGCTGATACCATAACGATCGGCTTATCGGTTAAACGATTATTATTGTAACTACATCAGTACAATGACAATGTACATTCTGTGAATTTCAAATTTTTTACGAGTCCAACATCGCCAACAACGGAAAGCGGGTGCATAGATCCGATGATCCCGCAACAAGTCCGTCAGCTGTTCGGACTGACCAGACGAATACAGACAAGATAGAGGCGACGCACCGGTTGCAACCCAAGAGCTGGTGGTGCCCTTCGCCTGTGACTTCGCTGACTCCGGCGATGAAGTCAGAGAAGCCGGCCAGGGGTGCAGATCGGTGGATTTCGACAGATGAGCTGACTTGAGGCGCGCCAACAAGTAACTACATGTAGTTGCTTTTCCTATCTATGCTCAAAATAGGCCTAAACGCCAGGCCTAGCTTGTCGTCGAGCAAACTGATTCGAGAACCGTCGACAGAACGGAAAACACGAAACTGAAGACCACTTTACTGTCTTTAGCTCAAGACTACTCGCACGTGGAGGGAACTCCAGCCCCTGCAGCTAGTGTAGACACATACTGAGCCTGCCAGTCCTGCATGCTGTATGTAAGAAAAGTAGTCAGCTGAAAAGACGGCGACGGTGATCGTGTCGATGTTTCTCAGATCACGCTTGTACTTTTACACATACATTGATGTTGGAAGAGATTAGTGTACAGTCATGTACATATTCGTGTCGTACTCGCAACACTTTCGGTGCATGCACGCTTTGTGCACCCCCCCCCCCCCCCCAGAAAAAGGGGGGAAACCCGGTACCGAGCGTAAGTACCATTCTACTCATTTAGCCGATAAAATCGAAATAACCGCTCGATCTATTTCTTATCGAGTAAGTAACGAGTAATCGATATAATCGTTTCAGCACTAATATTTAGTACACGGCCTAATATTCCCTACGGGGCCTATCGAGATGGATTTAACTTAGATGGCCACTGCCGGCTATGCTTACAGACCCACTGGAACCAGTCCGGTTGGTCAGGATAACAACAGACCAACTGTGTAGCTACCAACGCATGTTTACTGCTGAGGAGGGCATATGTCCCAGCTATACCACACACAAAGTATGAAAGACTGTGGTACGACCCGAGCAATTGAAAACTGCTTCCGGCGGTCCTGGCTTACCAAGGAATTTGCCAACCGTTGTCCAGAACGGCGACACCGTGCAAACCTTGCGGTTGTGCATTTTCCATCTCATGTGGCATGTTGCAGCTGATTATCTTATGCAGCATCAAACCCAGCGACCAGACATCGGCTTTGCGAACAGGGTAAGCCATGTCTGCAAAAGCAAGCATGGTAAATGGTACACGCAGAGCGATTCACACGAGCACATCCGAAGAGAGTGATATGAGGACCATCTGCCACTCAACAAGCACTGTGTGGTTTGAATAGACATCAGCAAGTAGCTAATCAAATGGCATTCCCGCTAGCTTGCAGAGTGCAGTTAGCTGTGGCGTTCTATGGCTCGCTGTGGTACTGTTGTAAATCCGCAAAGACTACAAACAATACATTCTTACCTGCAGTCATATCGGGAGGTGTTGTGATGCTTTGCAGAGTATCTGCATCAAGATCGACGAGCTCCTTGTCTCCCACCATCAGTGCATGAGAGAAGTTTGTGAGCCTGATCTCTTCGGTGGTGATGTTGTAGGCTACATCGTGGAGGCTGAGTTGAAGCATTACCACACCGGCCTTTCACACACCATAGAGTAGCCGCATGCAGTGAAAGTCACAATAATTCGCAAGTAAAATTAGTTGACAAGGATTCTCGGGGCACACTCCAGGGGCGGATCCAGGAATTTCCCAAGGGGGGTTCAATTTTTTCCCACCCTACCCACAATGACGAAATGATGACATAAAAAAGCATGTATAACAAGTTCACGTGTTCGCGTTATCGGGACAGCCCACACGCATTGCATCCTGTACTTGAACATGCCAGCTGCTATACAAATGAAAATTCAGTACCCCTATTTTCAACACTCTGTAGCTAAAACATTATTGAAGACACGCAGCAGAATAGCTGATTGGTACTTTCTCCAGCAGCTCGTCTGCAATATTTGTCCGTAGTATTGTACTCTGATCCGCCCGATGTTGACTCCACTGTCTCTGTACAGTCGGTTCCATCAGGCAGGCTTCCTGCATCTTTCTTGTCTCAGTCATAATTGTCCCCAGTTCGGAGAAATTTTGATTATTGGATGATGGGACGTTGAACTTGAAGATGATTTTCAAAGTCTCGCTCTTTGTTTTACCTTCGATACTAGTGGCTACACTTTTCTTTGGAGTGTCACCAAAATTCAATGGCAGCTGGTCTTGAGCCTGCCTCTTCTAGACGCTTCGACGAACTTATTAAAAGACAGGTCGAAAAGCACGAGCCGCGACGACAATTACAGCACTGAGCGGCCAGTATTTGAAACTTACTTTCGAAGTTTCCGCAGCAGCTCAACAAATGCTTGCGCACCTCTTTCTCCGAAGCGAACGCGTAGTTAGCTAGCTGTACATTCATGTGTAGCATACTAGTAGTAGGGACTTCAGACCACGTGACTTCATGGCCCAAAAGCATGCAAATCGACGCCTGCACAAATCGTGTGATGGTCATATGTCAAGTCGTGTAAAGAAATGTGGAATCGTTTTTCGAAATGAAGGAAGTCTTGTACAGTTGGAGAAAGTTTCGGTTCGTCTTGTTGGAGCTTGCCTTCGTTTGGGACCAGCAAGAATGGAGCTGTTACGTTCATTTTTGACGGAGATACGTATGCGGATGGAAGGGAAAGGTGAGAAACTATATGATCCGTCCGGGTCCCCTTCTTGAAAATGTGATATTCGTATTCTACGACCTCGAATTAGTCTAGATAGAAGTAATTTTTTCACCTTCCAGAAGACCTATTTCTTGCATTATTCCTCTTTGTACTTTGCCGTGCAGCGCCGCCATAGTCACAGTATGGAAAGCAGCGAGAAGTATCCTGCGCTAAATTATGCTGGTGTACAAATTGAATTACTCTTGGCTGTTTCGGTCCATGCCCCGATTCTTGTCTCCAATGCTGTTATGCTCGATCTGGTTGAGCTCCGCAAGAATAGCTGAAAGAGTGCCGAACTGGGAGATTTGCTGTATATTCTTGTTGCTATTTGCTGTATCTCTGCTGATGTGCGTGCTACGATTACTCCAGCCAATACAATATCCTGTGCATGTCTATGTTGAGCTTAGTCAGTGCCTCTTCCGTGATCATTCTTTTTCTTGACACCAACACGGCAACAGTCACGGCAACAGTCCGAAGCTACATGTATCTCAGGACTGTATTATCAATGTCTCCTGTTATGTACTAACCACTACATTGTAAACCATGCTATTCAGCTATTTCATGCGGAGAATCAAGATGTTTTTGGATCTGGTGTGCGGTTGCTATGCGTTGCTAAGGAAAGTGGGTTCTCTCAGCTTGACATACCTCTCTGATCTCAAATGTGTGGAACGTTTGTCGGAAAAATCCGGTGATAGGCGATGACTATTTTGCTTGTAACTTTAGTTTCCTTTGTCCGATTTAGAAAAACTATAGACCAAACTCCTCAGGGAGCTCTAACCTATCCAAAAAGCAAAACATAAGCCACAGAAAACCGATTTGAAAAAATGGTCTGAAGTCCCTACTAGTAGTCCATTCCACCTTGTGTTGTATAATGTAACTGTTGATTCGCAATGCTGTCAAGGGAACCTGAAGTCGCCATAACCCCAGGGCAGGGGTACTCCTTCCGGAAGTTCTGCAGCTATACAGAGGAGCAACACCTGTCTCCTTCTCTACATTTTTGGAGGCTGTGAGGACTTTGCACAATGATCCCGCCTTACCTCGTGTACTGCTAACAGTACCGCTGCGATGCGCCTGATGAGTTGCACTGAAGCCTTCTCCTCAAGCTGCCCGAGCACATGGCTTTCACCCACAAGATCCCACAGCGTTGTCCAATGGACAGAGTTCACATCATAATCGCTGGCAATGTAGTTAGTCAGAGCTAGGCCGACCATCTTCTCCACTCCGGGAGTCGCTGCCCCAGTCATCTGTTCGTTGTCTTCCTCGTCCTCATGGCTGTAGTAAAGGCCGTGCTCCAGGACGATTCCGGTCACGCTGCGGCTGTGCAGATGCTTCAGAATTGCCTCTTCCGCCCTGAGCATGTTCAGAGCAGCCGGAGCGTCGCTGCACGTCAGGTCGGCCGTCTTCATCAGGACATATTCACTTTTGTGCTGGGAGTGCACGGCAAGGAAGAACTTGACGCACGGAAACCTCGATTTCCCATAGCCAGCTGTTGGAACACAGAGTCGCCAGGGTCCCAGCATGATCATTTCACCAAAATAATTCAGATTCTTCACTTCGAAGAAAGGGTAGGAATTGGCCCTGGTACACAAGGACATGTACAGGAAAGCCAATCAGCAGTGAGGACCTAACTACAATAGTGTGATTGTGGTACTGCGTTCTGCTCCGCTAATCTGAAGTGAAGAACTTCTTTTTGTAGCTACTACTAGTATTAGCACCTATGTCTTTTTCGTCTGACCAAACAACGGTTACACCAGTAGTGGGCTTATTTGCCAAATTCGGGTACGAGCACAGGTAGCATCATGTATTGCATAATGACCTTTGGACTGTGGTAAATAATTCATGTGTAGCTACGTAGATCTACATGCGTGTTCGCGGTGACATGGCCAGACTTAGCTTTATTTCAGGAAATCCAGTGTGTAGTCTGATTGTCTACCCTTGTAGCCCTGCGTGGATTTACAAGTACATTATTGCAAGTCACGGTGGGCTACTACTGTAAAAGCAGAAATTTTTGGTGGTGTAATATTTTCGGTATTCGCCAAAATCGGCGGTTCGGTAGCGGGAAATTTTCGGTAAAACCCGTTCTCCAGGTAGGTGTACTAGTACTACATGTATACAGTATCGGTTGTACCGAAAATTTCGGTGCGTTTCATTTTCGGTAAAAATTGTCGGCACCGAAGTTACCGAAAATAAAACACCACCGAAAATTTCTGCTTTTACACTATACTGTGGGCTACCTAACGTTACCTATATTTGTTAGTATTAATAAAGACACCCCGAAAGTATAAATGGGGCAGCTAGGCCGGCTGCCATACCTACGACAATGCATACATACCGGTATGTACATGTCATGGGCTATTATGCTATGACCAAGGGCAGGGAGTCGTCGAATACCGGTACATGTATTTGACGACTCCCTGGCCAAGGGTACAAGGTTACCAGTATTTACTCTCGCTGTAACGAATCAGTTGTCTTGGGTACACACAATCAGTATTGAGCCGGGTCATATTCGTGCCATACTGAAAAGCAAGGAGTAGATCTACGAGTAGTGTAGTACAAAGCCACCATGAGCATAGCCCGGCCCGGGTCCACTGAAAGTAGCTCCGGTTATCTCGATTCTGTATCAGTATGACTGTCATGCAGGTACCATCCCTGCACAGCAGTGAACTGCTGTTTTTGTCATAACAATTTGGAGGAATTATTCCCTGGCTTCCCATGGCCTTGGCCCTTGATCCTTGAAGGGTGGCGTTCTTACGGATGGGGAAAACTCGGCCCCTAGCCGAGTCGGACGCGAGCCGCGAACTATTTTTCCCCTGGCATGTCATGAACCAGTCGGCCTCGTGTTGAAACCAGTAAGAAAGACAAACAGCACTGGGCCGAGCCACTTTGAATGTCAGAAACAAATTTTGAAATTCAAAATTCTCAGCAAAGACAAACTGCATGCATGATACATTCACAGTCGCACAGGAAATGGCGACGTACAGACACTGAATCAGCCAATGGTTGTGCAACGGTTGAATAATCCATGCCGGAACATCCCAGGCCTACACATATAACAGTGATAACTGACAACCCTATGTACATGATCTTATAAATAGACAACAAAAAATATTGAAAACATTGGTCAACAACAGGTAAAATAATTCCCATCTCAGACATTGGCGTCAGAAGCCTGAAATTATAGAAAGCAGTTTTTTTACAGCAAATGTATGGGTCCTCCCTAGTTAGCAGCTAAAACTCTATAGTATGTACAGATGGACCATAGACAGCGTAGAGCAGCAGGAGGTGAGGACAGTTCACTGACTGACACAGGATCAGTACAGCTGGAACAACAAGCAAAGGTTATGTACACAGACACCATGTGCACTACAAGCATGCACACGCGTGCGAGTCAGGAGCCGGAGGGCAGCAGGCAGTTAGATGACGGTAACGTGAAACTTGCACACGGGAAGGTTTGTCACTTCGACCGTTACTGAGCAGGTGAGGCCCAAATTGAAAAGTGCTCCACGTACTACACCACATGAGAAGGCCAGAAGCTGCAACAAAACACCCCCCGAAAAAAGAGATGAAAGCAAATTGACCCGGGGACTTCTCAAAAGTATCAGAGTTTCAAAGCAGAGTTAGTTTCGCCCAGGGATATGCATGGTATCAAGAGTCCATAACCAAGAGTGTGTATGCAACTGTGATCTCAGTTGCAGACGCAAACTTGGTTATGTGAGCCAGCTGCACAGCGCCCTACCTTCACTACATCATGCAACCAAGAGGACATAACCATCAAGAGTGTGCAACTCCTGCATACCCTGTCCCGGCAGAATTTCAAGTTGACGTCCTTTTTTTATGATGCAATGCTCCTCGCACCAGTGATTTACGACATTTGTACAGGGTGTCAACGCACCACACATGTTTCCTTCAACTGGTTGGTACAGGATCAAATGGGGCTTTGTCCACCACAGGTTCAGGATACGTTTGATAATATATGGACAGTGCGGGACAGGACCCATAGTGGAGCTGCACATTCTTGGGGGGGGGGGGGGGGTATGTACTCTTGATGGAACTAACCTCCGAAACACGGAAGATCAAAACCACCCTTTCCCTGCGGCTTGAAATGAAGTTTGGGATGGAGCTGAACTTTTTAAAAGCATTCACAACATAGGGACGGCTCCCCCGTGATTCAATTGAATCGAGCTAAAAATGGGGATGCTTGTACGAGAGATCACGGCTTGAGTGCATGAGTCGAGAGTTTAGTGAGGGCAAGTCACGCATTAAACGAAGGTATTGCACCGCGCACTGGCTCATAATCATAGTTGCATTCTCTTGTTTATGCACGATTGGTGATAAGCACTGAAAAAAAGTACCGTACACTTCCCCGAATATAAGTCGCACCCGATTATAAGTTGCACCCCCCATTTTCACGTTTGAGCAATATCGTTTTGATGTGTGGACTTCAGTAGTAAGTCATGCTCGATTGTAAGTCCATTTGCTACCCTTGATTTTTTGTGTAAAAAGGTGCGACTTATATCCGGGGAAATACAGTAAGGGGCTATCCGGCATTATCGATAATTTTCACAAAACGGAAAAGTTTAGTTACGACCCTCCCCCACCCATCCACCCCTCCTGAGCGAAAAAATATATATTGACTTGTCAGCTAGAATGGATTGATGTTTCAGCTATCAATAGTTTTCATAACGAAACTCTCCTCGACCCACCCACCCATAAACGAAACTTTTTCGTTTTGTGTAAAATATTGATAATTATAGATGGCCCCTATTAAAGGGCACGATTTTTACGGGAATATTACAGACATGCACACATCTATTCAAAGACAACAATGACAGCAGTACTCCACAAGCAGCCAATAGCAGTGCACGCAGCCAGGGCTGGTCCAACTGCTCTACTGGTCACGAGTGGAAGAAATCAAAACTCACCGATTGTGCCGTCTGCAAATACTGAGTGCCTTCTGCCACATTCGTCAGGAACCGGAACTGAGAGTCTTGCAGGACATACACACCCTTCACAGGACAACGCCGTACAAAAAGAAGGTAACACAAGTACACAAGGCTCAATATTCTAACCACTTCGAAGTCCACCACCGGCACAATAAGTACAACACCAAGTTCCTTTCTGCATGGTCCGAAATGTCAAAAAAAGGTGACAGAATATGAAATTAAGCCAACAGGCTTTGACCAGAGGATTCTTTCCTACCTGGTGATTCGTCCTCAAGTTATCGATCTGTTTCATAAACGTTGCCAGCCAGAAATCCTTGCACAAGAAACGCATCATGTCAAGCTCGTCCTTGAAGCGCATTGTATCAGCAGAGCATCTGTAGCCACAAACAACAGCAAAAAGTAAACATCCCTGGTATGAAACGATCTCGACATTTTCTTCCTAATTTTCCCGGCGTTCCTCTTTCAGGACCAACACGTGTGCATTCCATGTTTGTTTGGTCTACGAAGTACAAGGCTTCTTAATCCCTCTCCTGTCACGAGATGAGGTATATGAAGATGTGCCCCCCAGAGGAATCTGAAAAGAAGAAGGCAGTCGTTGCTGTGATCACGTTAATATGCAGTTTGTGTGCAGCCCAAGCAAACAGTGTGTTGATGACAAGATGACAAGCACAATATCAGCAACAGGTGGCTGAACTCATGTAGTGCTACCTGATTTATCAAGGGAGTGCTGCCTCCCCCTCCATATATTCGGAGTATGCTACATCACCACGTCGTGTTGTTATTTCCATCCTATCAGTGCCCATCTAATTATATCAACAGGAAAGGTCAGTGTTCCTTTAAAGATGTCCAGGCAGCATGCGACTACAGCTATTGCTTCATGGATGCAGTCGTGCAGAGGCTCGGGAGTGTCCATGATACTCGCGTGTTTGCAAATTCAAGGCTAAACCAGTAGAGTAACCTGCTCGAATCACGCATGTGACGTCTGTGCAAGGCAACAGGCGGGCTGTCATGACAACGCTATGACACTGTACGTACTACTCATAGTGTCAAGAGTACAAAAACTCAGGTTTAGGGGCAAGGGTTCCAGTCCACTTGAGCGTATAACATGTGAATATCCCAAACCAGCTCTAAACATTGAGCAAGTGGGAACCAGCATCTACTACACATGTTGTGCTGAGTGTTTTTTTTTATTGAGTGAGGTCACGGGACACGCAAAATGGCCCATGAAATTAGGGTGTGTTAAGTTTTTGGGTAATTTGCAGTGGTGCTTTTATCGCCATGTGACCCATTGGGCATACCCCCCCCAGGCGCGTACGCAGGGGCTTTCCCGTTGCCCGGAACCTCCCCCCCCCCCCCCCCCCCCCCATGTTCCAAATGAGCAACGTTTTGGGCATTTTTTGGTAGGGCACGCGATCGTTCTGACAAGAATGCAATATTCAACAGATCGTAACTCAGTCAAATCTCACTCAAATCCAACGATCCAAATATCCAGGTCGAATAGAAAACTCTCAGCTGTCGGTAGAAACAATTTGCGAAGCGCTGCAAGCAATGGTTCGTGAGATATATCGTTCGTAAGTTGAGCCGCGATCTCGGCAATTTCAAAAGCACGCAGTGCGACTTTTCGTCACGTTGACTTGCTCAAATTTGCAATGGCTTCACTTGTGATATTCTCAAGAGTACTTAGAAGTACACAGCAAACAATCGAAACTCTGCGATCGAGAAAAACGAAATCGCTGGAGCAGGATGCGTTTGGGCCGTTCGGGCATTTTTCGCACCGTTGCTGCACTCTAGCGCTGGATATACTTCCTCCGTTAACAAAAACTTCGTGATGGATTTTTGAGGGACTGGTTTGCGCACAAACTGCCGTGAAATGAGTCGCGATCACTTTCTCGGCCTTCCCTGGCATGCCATGAAAGAGGTACGATGCAAGGAAAGCGACCTTTCACAACAAGCCGAGCAGAATCGATGGTTGCACTGCAACATAGGCGATACCAGTCTTGGCCAGCGAAACTGATATACCACTTCTCCGAGGGGATAATGCGCTCTACTACTCTAGCACTGGGTTTGAGAGTGATAGAGAGCGGTGGAACGGAGCAGCGAGCCCATCCAATGAGCGAGTGAACAAGGAGCTGCTCCGATCGCACGGCGTAATGAAATACTGTAGAACGGGTAGTTTTAGCGACGTAAAACCCTAGCGAATTTAGCGATCGACTCATTTTCGCTAAAGTTTCAAGTCGCTAATCCGTTGAGACATTAGTAGTGCACTGGTGATCCGTGAGTAAAATCGTTGCAAATTGCTAAAATAAAACGTCGCCAACCGGTTGACAATGGGAAAACGCTAAAATTAATAGTCGCTAAAATTACCCGTTCTACAGTAATTCTGAATTCAAGTTCTTGTTCAACCTGCGCAAAGCCCAGGTTCGAATGCTGATGACTATGCATTCTTTCAGAAGTCTGCAGTCTGACGCGAGTAGCGTGGCTAAAGAAAGTCGACTGGACTTGCTAGCCGCTGCCATTCAGTGCTGGCCAGAGTATCCATCAGAGCAAATGGAATCAGTTTGGCTGTGCCTTTACTCCTCGGTTCGCGGAGTTCTGGAGAGCGAAGATGCAACCAGGGAGTCGTAAAATATTTTTTTCGACTCCCTGGTGGAAACGAGTATTCACCACTGTGGCGAATCATGCAGCTTGAAAGCCAACTTACTTGAACAACGGCGACATCAAGTTCAGCGGAGTGTGATCAAAGAAGCTGAGGCAAGGCTGAAACGAGCTGAACAACGACTTGGGAGAGATGACGACTCGCATGCAGCAGATGACGACAGCGACGAAGGGTCAAAAATGAGTCGAGCGAAAGCGATGCAAACTGAATTCTCTGCTCATTCCGCCAACAGTTTCTCTTGTAAAGACGCTATACATAGGCTGAACTACCTTCGTCCGGTGACTTGCAGTCCATACAAACTGTTCTTGACCTGTTTTAAGCGTTTTGATATCCATCAAAATCCATCACGAAGTTTTCGTTAACGGAGGAAGTACATAATACAGTATCCTGGCTATCATGGTCGACCTCATTCTCTTCCTCTCCCGGATACCTTTCCACCTCCAGGAAGCCCAAGATTATCAAGATTGAGTGAGTAGAACTGAAGTTATGATCCAAGGAACACGAAAAAATGAATATTTCCTAGGGCTCTTAAAAGGGTTTAAAAAACTCATTGTTTGTGATTCGGTTGGACCCCCCCCCACCACCACTACCCGCACGTGCGCCCACACCACCCACACCCACCCACACCCACGCGCACACAAGCACGCACACACACACACACACACACACACACACACACACACACACACACACACACACCTTTGACCTTTGACCTTTGACGCCCCATCTCCAGTGGAGATGATAGGCTACTGAGTTGGGCAGTACTTGATGTGATGCCTCAAATCGCCACTTCTCCTAAACGCTCTGCCGCATGCGCAGTGAAAGTCCTTCGGTGCCAGGGGGAAGACGATGTTGATGGACCCGCCTGCGCCATTCCGGGCGATCTTGTGCGAGCCGATACCACTCGGACTCCGGAATGTCCAGTGAGCGCAGATCACCGACAATCGTGTCTCGCCAACGCTTCTTTGGCCCATGCCGTGGTCTGGTTGCCTCGAGCTCCCCAAACAACACTTGTTGAGGAATCCGGGCCGCGTCCATACGGGCAACATGACCCAGCCAACGCAGACGGTACTCACGCAGGAGAGTGCCAATGTCTTCAGGAAGACGTGCTCTCTGGGCTAGATCAGCAGTAGTAAGATAACGGGAGTGCTGATCGCTCCTTGGGACTCCCAAGATGGAACAGACGCATGAGCGATGAAAAAAACGTGTCTGACTGGTGAAACGCAGAGATCGTCCCTATCCCCAAGAAAGGTGACTTACGGTCCTGCGAGCAGTGGCGTGGCATCAGCCTCCTGGATGTGGTCGGCAAGGTCTTTGCTCGTGTTCTTCAGGGTCGCCTGCAGGCGGTGGCGGAGGATGTTCTGCCGGATTCCGCAGGGACCGTGGCTGCAGTGACATGGTATTCACCGCAAGACAACTGATGGAAAAGGCAGTGGAGCACGATTCTGAGCTATAATGTGCTTTTCGTCGATCTGCGCAAGGCCTATGATTCCATTCCGCGGTCTGCTTTGTGGCTTGTGCTCCGCAATCTGGGGATTCCTCCGAAGCTGCTTGGCCTTGTCCAGTCGCTCCATGAAGGCATGGAGGCGCATGTTCGGCTCCCTAACGTCGTCACGGACAACATCAACGTCCGGAATGGCTTGCGTCAGGGCTGCACACTGGCGCCTACGCTCTTCAATCTATATTTCTCTGCAGTGGTCTCTTCGTGGCATCGCCAGTCTTCTGTTCCGGGTGTACGGGTCCGTTACCGTGTCGGCAGGAAGCTTGTTGGGGATCGAACCGCCAAGTCTCGGCTGGCCTCCACTGACATCACGGAGTCCCAGTTTGCTGATGATGCGGCTCTCTACACCACCTCTTTGAGGCACACACACACACACACACACACACACACACACACACGCGCACTCATTTACCTTTATTGTGGCCTAGATTTTCGGGGATTTGGGAGAAGTGTACCCTATCTGTAGAAACACTGTCACATACCTTTCAACCAGAGCTATTCCAACACGAAATCCCATCGTGTCTAACTTCGTCGTGGCCGTGTTCTACCAACCAAGTAGAGAGAGGTAACAAATGCTCTCGCATGTCTAACATTTCGCAATGAGATCTCTCACAGTAACTCACCATGCCTTCACCAGTCGATCCTTCTTCCAGCAGCTTTACTGCCTCCATGTGAAGGAATTCAAGTAACGTATCGTCTACAGAACTGGATTCCGTCGTCATTTTTGCTAAGACTATTAAAGAAGAGTGCTATGCAGAAATATCATGAAATAGAAAAGCCTGCTGGGCTGAAGCAAAGGTCGTCTTTCACAGAACCAAATCAAATGGCCCTGAAATGAGATCAGTTGGAAACTGGTTTGGTATGCTTTGTTGGGAGACTTGATATAAAAAAAACACGAAAGACGTAGGCAGTACTTCGAAGGGAACCTTTGAAAAAGGGGACATCCCTTTGAAATTCTATTCCCGATGGTTTTGTTGAAAGTATTTTAGTGATCTGTTCAGTGAGGCGGGCGCCAAATCACGATTTGTACTGAAAATACGTAGCAAACCCATGCAAATCCATGCATATGAGCTGGACGAAAACACAACACTGGTCCAACACCTTACCGTAGGCGCCGTACCGTAGGCGTAGACCTGATCCCGCGATTCCTGCTTGCTAATAATTGCTGTACACCAGGTAGATCTACACCGACGCGACGTCAGCTACAAAGCGAGCAGTCGAGCAACGAGGTGTGCTTGATGGCATCGATGTTGAACTGATAATAATAAGCTGAGCTCTTGCTTCTCGCTTGAAAAGTGAAAGAGTCTGGTTTCATCTTGGGAGATTGTTTTATTTTGTAAGTTCCGAAGTAGTACTAGTAGAAAATCATCAGGTTTGGATTAGTTGTGGAGCATTGATTTCGTGCATGGGGTGACATCCGTTGGGCTGGACTATTGTCAGTATTGCATCCATTCTGGCGAAGGAAGAAAATCAATTTACGTCTAATGAGGTAAGTCTAGGGAAATTCTGTGCCATATCTTGACTTGTACTTTTCTTTACTCTTCGTTGCTAATCGAGCTCACCAATTCTTGCTGGAAAGAAGAGGTGACTTCCGTAGAGAGGGAGAGTGAGCCCCTTGGCCTTGGCTTCCGTCTCTTTTCAGCTGCAAAAATACAAAATTTAATAATAATTATACAGCTGATTGAAAATGTAGAGTTCAACTTTGCACTGAAAGTGAGAGCAATTTCCAGCGTATCCAAAACATATCAAGGTGGCAGCACATAATACAGAGTCACTGTAGGGGTATCCCTTGATCTACTGGAGTAAAGTTAGCTGTACTAACGAGTCTCTACAGAACTTTATCTGCAGTAGGTTGGTGAATTCCCCCAGTCATGACGCAGCACTATCATCGAAAATTGAGACATTCCCTGTCAAGGGGTTTTCATTCTTTTGGAGAGAAAAGCACAGCTATTGCATTGGAAAACACCGATTTTATTGTGTGGTTCTATAAATCTGGGCAATGAGCCGACTTGCTTCTATGTCTTCAATCAGTTCATTCGACTGCATGCATTCATAGTATTCTCTCGTTGAAATGCTTATACATGTTTGATTGACCCATTCTTCTCCTGGGTTTCTTTCTGCTTATGTTATTGTGCTGTAGATGTCTAGTCATTCGTAGCCCCTGGTGATTAGTGTGTGTGCAATCTGTGATGGATGATGATTTTGGTTCCTTTGCCACGGCTGACGCCAGTGCCTCGGCGAGTGGTGATACACCGTCGTTCGCCGCTTTTGGCAGTTTCGCTGGAGAGACCGCAGTACCGCCAGCTGTGACCAGTCAATCAGCGTCTGCGTTTGCCGACTTTGGTGATTTCGGAGGCTTTGGCGGTGCTGGTAGTAGCAGTGCTGTGAAAACAGAGGGTGCGGCAACGAATTCGCTAGCGAATGACTTTGGTAGTTTTGGAGGCAACGAGCGACCAACCACGAATAATGGTCTCTCCGCAGGAGGAAACGATTCATCTTCCTTTGGTGACTTGAGTGGATTCTCAATGGCACCTGCGTCAAGTGGTCTTGGCAATGCAGGAGCTCTTGGACAAGTCACTAGCAATGTACGTAGCTCCTGGTATTGTTCTGTAGCCAGTCTTGCCTTGCTTGTCTGGTCATCTCGACTTCTTGGCATTGCTGATTCTTTGCAATGCAATAGTACACTGTCCGTATAGGAAATAAACTGCATACGTGTGCGGTGCCAGCTGCCCGGCCTGAACAAAGTACATGTACATTCAAATTGTGACAATTTTGCAGACCGAATTATTTGTCCCAACATGTGAATTTCCTCCCCAGATGTTACGTTTAGTTCCCAAGCCCGGATTTGATGCGCTCACACTCCTTGTTTCCACTCGAGTTAGGTCTGACAGATTTTGGCTGAACCGGGTTAAAGAAGATAATGACATGAGTTCATGCACACGCCTCGTGCTTGTTTTCCTATGCGTGGACGTTTTCAGAATCCTGAGGGCTGTAACCTGTGACCAAAATCAGATGGATACTTTGGAAGTTTTTGGGTGATTGCAGGTGTGATGCTACTCCCTGTATACAGTGAAAAAGAGACCTTCACACGGTGGTCGCTTTGTACAGGTGATCCCGTTATCTAGGTTCACATCAGTCGAACTGATACCCATTGGTCCTGTTTGTAGTGGTCTCCTGGGACAGCCTTTTGAGCGTGGTCGTCTGGACAGGTTTTACTATATTTGGTCTCTCTCTCCAGTTTTGGTCCGACAATTGCTTGGTGTTATCACCCTTCATCCTTCAGTGCTCATTCTTGTTGCTGTTGTTGCTCTTTTGCTCATTCTTGTTCTTGTTTTTGTGGTCACTAATTTCTCCTCTTAAGGCATCTACCCAAGCTAGTTCTGGTATGGACTTCGGTGACTTCGGCAGTGACCCGGCACCGGCTGCAGATTCTGGTTTGTTTTCGGGAATCGGTGGCGGCAGCGGGAACTTGGACAATGCAGCAAACTCGATGGGATCGTCTCGAAAGGTATGGCTGTAACTTACGACGGTGTCCATGTGCCTATGATAATGTGGTATGCGACGTCGCGAACAGTTTGCTTGTGGAGCAGTGTGCAAGTGTGAGTAGTGCCAGCAGATGTCCTGCCAGTTTGGAAAGTTCTGTCTCGGAACGGCCAGGCCCTTGTGTTTTGTTTGTGTTTAAAATTGTTATTGTATACAATACCAAGAGTACATAACCCCCAAGAGTGTGCAAGGTTTCGCTGGCAAACAGTGCAAAGTGACCACCAGAGAGTTGAACTCAAAGCTGGGTTCCGCACAACCCTGTATCTATCATGCACAGAGTGCGAATAATGTGTACGGGTTCATCACTTGATGTGAAGTTCTGCCGTCGCAGACCCCATAGCTGGAGTTGCACACTCTTGGGGGCTATGTACTCTTGACAATACATATTATTATCAGTCAGACTGCTTGAATCACTTTCAAAATGATACGGCTTTTCGTCATTTCTTTCGTGGCTCAACTCACTAGATGTTTCTGCCCAACTACAGTGCTGGCAACTGAAATCCGACCCCCTTGGATTTCAGTTGCCAGCACTGTACATGTAGTGTATTACACGTTGCTGAGCGGCTCCAGTTAGAACGTGAACATTCTAGCCGTTGCTACTGGTTTGCAATTTTGTTATAATTATCATTATTTCGATTTTGTGCACTGTCTGTTCGTCTTGATTGATTGCAGGATTCATCTGCGAATACAATGCTGGGCGGTTTTGGAGGTGTAGGTGGTCTGATGGAAACAACTACATCATCAGCTGCGACGTCTCAGTCACTGAGTGATGGTGTAGCATCGGGTCTGCGTGGTTCTGAGCAGGTATGGCAATCAGTGTGCGAGCTCGCGCGCGCTTGTGTGTGTGTGTGTGTGGTGTGTGAGGCTGAGTAGTCTTTGGTGCTGCTAGTGTATATTGGTCCAGATTTCACTTGCCTCACCTTTAGCTGTGTGTGTCCATTGTGTATTATTCTTTGTATGTTATACTAATTTCAAATTTGGACTTCATGGAGAATTTTTTTAGGAAATTAGAGGCCACATGCCACGTACTGCTCTTTTCTCTCCCAAACTCAACACTTGCAAGCCAGATATGAAAGAAAGAAAAAATCATCAGTCACACCACCGGGACTCGAACCAGGGACCTTGCTATTCGCGAGCAATGCTCTAACCAACTGAGCTACAGTATGACTCTTATCCACATCTGGCTTGCAAGTGTTGAGTTTGGGAGAGAAAAGAGCAGTACGTGGCATGTTATACTAAGCATGAACATATGGGCATGTTCCAGTGCACAGTGTGTGGATCATGGTGAGAGTTGGTGTCAGAGATATCAAACCAGGAATGTCTTGATGTACGATTGCTGATCGTGCGAGGTGGTAATCGGCCTTGGAGTAAATTATTCCGTGTGTGTTTGTGTGTATATGCGCGTGTGTCTGTGTCTGTGTCCAGGCATCTGCCGCTGACGCCACAAAATCAGGCGCTGACTTTGGCGACTTTGGTGATTTTTCGTCCTCTGTGTCGGGCCCAGCACATGATGCAGGGGCCTCCATGGATTTTGGCGGGTTCTCTGGACTATCATCTGTCAGTGAAAATAAGGTGCTTATCATGCCAATGTTGATTGTTGATTGCTTCTATCCAAGTTTTGCAGTGAGGCTAGTGCGAGAACTCCATAACGACTGTGTGAGAAATTGAAAGAAAATTCTGGGGACACACCGCCATTGTCATGTTTGGTCTCTATCACTTTCATGGAATCGTTGATTGAAGTTCTTTCGATGTCGCTGTGCGCGTGGTCTTAAAGAAAAGATAGCGTCTTCCCGTCGCTATTCATGTGCTTTACTTGTGTGTTTGTATTGAATTGACAGTGTACTGCTGTTGACCTATCTCCCCACACCATTACCATAAAAGCATGTCAAGAATTTCTCTTTTTAGTCCAAGCCTGGTCTGGGTGTTTTATATAATTATATCTTTCCTCACAGCCTGCCGGAAGTGCAACTGGTGACACTTCAGGTAGCATGGGCTTTGATGCGTTCGGCTCGGCAATGTCCGGCGGCAGTGCTTCTCCTGCGAACCCCCTTTTCGAATCCAGTGGACTTCAGTCTGGCTCTCCGCGAACAGAGGTCAGTAGTTGTCCAGGTCCGGGCTTACGCAGTTACAACTTGGGCATGATGGGGTGCTATTCCCTAAATGAATGGTTGGAGAGCCTATTAGTAACGGCCATTGGGATTCGGCCGTTCAGGTTTGATTTTTTCTCCAGTACATGTACACATGTGCACAAACATGAACATTGCACGTCAGTGAAAAGAGTTTTATTTGTTCACTTATGTATTCTAACCAAGAATCAATCAAAATTATCAGAATTTTGGTTATGATGGCTGTTTTCTAAAATCGCAAAAACAAGAATACTAGGGGGTTGTTCTCACTTTCTAACTTGCTTGTACTTGCTACCTCCTTGTCCGAATCGAAATCCTTCTTCCAATGCGTTAACAAAACTGAGAAAATACAGTCATGAAACCGAGTTGCATGCGCACCAGTCGTCTAGATTGGGCAGCTACCCATGTTCTATGGCTGTGTGTGCCATAATCCTACATCTCATTCTGCACTTTAACTCCGTGTGTTGGGCAACAGGTGAAAAGCTCTGGAGCAGCTGTTGGTGGCTTGGATGCTGGCTTTGGCGATTTCAGCTCAGTGTCAGCTGCTGGTGCTGGCAACAGCCCCGTCATGTCCGGCTTGGGATCCGCCAATTCACAATCAGCATCCCCAGCTCTCTCGGCTAAGGTAAGTGTACCCTAAACCCGGTCTGAATACATCAATCATTCATCAGGTTATATCTCGAAGGACTGAAAATGCCTTGGGTGTTTTTTTAGCAATCCTTTTGGCCGTGATGGCCGTGGCTAATCCAAGAGATTATGATCTATCGAGTAGTCAGCTGCAATGGTGCTTAGCTGACGAAAGTACTTTGATTATGACACTACAGATTTTCGTGTGTGTGTGTCTGTGTGGTGCAGGGTGCTAGCATAATGAGCAAAGCTGACGACGGTAGCTTTGGTGATTTCGGCTCTGCCATGTCTGGTGCCTCGCCGTCAACCTCAGCTCGTGACTCGATGAAAGGTGATGATGGTAGCTTTGGGGGCTTCGGCTCTGCAATGTCTGGTGCATCTAACTCTGGTCACAATTCATTCAAAGCTGGTGAGGGTGGCTTCGGGGACTTTGGCTCTGCGGCTGCATTAGACTCGGGCCTCACTTCAATCAAAGGTGATAATGGTGGCTTTGGGGACTTTGGCTCAGCAATGTCCGGTGCAGTATCATCAGGCTCTGCTCGCGACTCGCTCAAGCCTGAGGGCGGTGGCTTTGGGGACTTTGGCTCAACAATGTCCGGTGCCGTGTCATCAGGCTCTGCTCGCGACTCGCTCAAGGCTGATGACGGTGGCTTTGGAGACTTTGGCTCCTCTATGGCGAGCGCACCGTCTAACACGGGTGCTGGCATGGGCAGCTTTTCAATGGAGTCGCCCAGCTTGAAGCCTAAGGTGTGTTGGTGTATTGGCGCTTCTTTCGGACATGAATGTATTCGCTGACACTCTAGGTGTTTTAAGTTGTACTGTGTTCCAACTCACTGTACCCTTGATGTAGAGCATTAGGTTACTACATTGTAGTAGGTCTAACAAATTTCAGCAATGAGTACTATCCCGTCTCATATATAAGCCTCTTTTAGATAAAAGCCTGATTTTCACAAGGCACTGTTAGCACACAAGCCTGGTTTGAATAGAAGCCTTGCCCTGACTTTGACTACCACAGGAATAAGCCCTGCTTTTACCTGTGGCATTTTGGTATGACAATGAGCACACCAACAAGTACCATGGCTGGTCTTAATACTTGTATTTCTTTACTGTTTTTGTAGCTTTCTCATCAGAGGCTGTTGTTGGTGCACCTATTTGCGTGTTTATTGCCCTGATCTGTTTCCTGTGTTCGCACAAATTATTCTAGCGAGTTACAAACCATAAGTTTGAATTTGTCGCTTCTGCTTTCTGCTTTTCCTGTCGGTTGTGCTTTGGACAGGGTGAAACTTCTATCGTATCATCTGATGCCGATTTTGGTGGCTTTGGAGCGTTCGGGTCTGCATCAGCTACGTCCAATGGCAACTCCACCGCTGATGCCGATTTTGGCGGTTTTGGTTCAGCAGTGCCTAATGCCGGCACCACTGCGGTAAGGTTTTTGCCCTTTCACCAGAGCGAGGTTTGAAGCATGAAAAAAGCCTTGCTGGAGAGTATGATTGTTGTGGCAAACAACCTTGTCAGGGCGCGTTTGTTGCAGTGCAATCTATACCACATTAATTTGCTTGTACGCGCACTAGCACTTGAAAGAGTGGACAGCTCAATGAAATCCGGGCGCCGTGAGTCAGCTAGCACCTAGCGCTATGTAACCCCAGCAGTGAATCCCGGGCACCGTGAGTCAGCTAGCGCCGAGCGCTATGTAACCCCAGCAGTGAATCCCGGACGCCGTGAGTCAGCTAGCACCTAGCGCTATGTAACCCCAGCAGTGAATCTGCCAGCACTGGGTAGTGAGTCAGTTAGCACCTAGCGCTATGTAACCCCAGCAGTGAATCTGGCAGCACTGGGTAGTGAGTCAGCTAGCACCGAGCGCTATGTAACCCCCAGCAGTGAATCCCGGGCGTCATGAGTCAGCTAGCACCGAGCGCTATGTAGCCCCAGCAGTGAATCCCGGGCGTCGTGAGTCAGCTAGCGCCTAGCGCTATGTAACCCCAGCAGTGTATCTGCCAGCACTGGGTAGTGCACTGGTGCAGGGATTACTTATTTATGAACCCGGGTTTTCATTGAGCACGGCTGTACATCACTGTTTAAAAGTATGGATCCATGAACTGTAGTTTCTCTGTCTTCTTCTTCTGCTGTGCTAACAGGTGATAGAGAGTGTGGACGGTGCTGGTACTGTGTCCTCTGGCAGCTCTGCGGCAGCATCGGCGGATTCCTTTGGAGCATTTGGTGGCACGGCTGCACCAGTTGCCAGCCAATCTGACAAGCCCGCGGCGGATGGAAACGAGGACAAAGATGATTTTGGCTCCTTTTCTGCTGGGGGTAATGGCAGCTCTGCCGCTGCTGCTGCTGCTGCTCCTGGTGATGATGATGGGTTTGGCGACTTTGGGTCCTTTTCGACCAGCCAAACAGCAGACAACACATCATCTGCTGCTTTCACGAATCAATCAGTTAACTCAACACCGGCCGTATCGGTAGGTGTAACCGTATGATAGCGTGTAGCTTCTCATGGTTTGTGTGCGTTCTTTTTTCTTCCTTTTCTGTGTATTGTTGATGTCCGACTGTAGTGGTCACGGGTATTTTTGGCCTGTGTTGTGATCAGTCGGTGGAGAGAAAGGGGAAGCGTGGTCGCAGCTCAGAGCTTCACGTTGTTCACGGTCACCAGGCAACCTTGTGTTCTGGCCATGATTGTTTTGTGCCTATGCTTCCAATTCTGCATGCCTCAGACCACCGGTGCCTCCATCTCGAGTGCCATGCCTGCTGACGATAAAGACGACTTTGGTGGGTTTGGTGGCTTCAGCACATCGACTGCAGGTGGATCGTCAGGTGGATTTGGTGCGTTTGGTGCTGCACCTGTGGTAAGTGCTGCAAGAGTGATGTTTGTTGCTGTTAGCCTGTAGTTACTGCTACTTCTGCTGCTCTTGGGTGAGCCTTTATTCACTTGTTGGGAGTGTTTATGAACTGTACTCATGAGCTGGTTTCTCATCATACATTTACTGTGCTGGCAACCTACGAAAACCATCCAAGCAAGTACTGTCGTGGACATGGTAATCCGGTCGCACGTCTAGCGGCCCCAGGGCGCTGGCCATGCAGCCGTGGATAACGTGGACATGCATTATGCGCTGCAGCGCGCTGGCCGCATCGGATCAACATGACTTTGTGCACTGCACGTTCTGTACGCACTGAGGGCGCTGGCCCCGGTCAATCGACTGGATTTCCATGTCCGCTACAGTATGATCAAGCTCTCCGCAACCTGTGGACTGTTTGCCCGGTGTGCCGGTAGTTTGACTGTCTGTCATGTAATGCAGTTTGGTTGATAATACGATAGCAGACCGTGCCCTGGATATTCTCCTTGTCTGCAGTTCATACAATGTGATTGAGCTGCAGCAATTAGCAGTATACTGTTAACCTGGAAATTTAGCAAGAGGGAAACCTTGGGAGTTTCCAATGCTTGACGTCGTTTAGTAACTCAATGTCACTTCAGCTAGTCCTCCTTGTTGCGATATCAAAATTGTTGTCTCCTCGCCGATTATTTAGAAACTTTGAGATTTTAGCAGATAGACCGAGTTTGCACAGTTTTGAAATTGTGAATTGCTAGTGCTCCATGTGTACTTTAATAGGCAAATTTGCAATTTCTTCAATCACTAAGTAGAAAATACAAAACTGCTGAAAGACCATCTGAATGTAATCGCTGGATATACTAAGTATCCGTTGCTAAAATTGGCCGGTTTGCGGTACTCGATAATCACTTCACACAATCAACCTGTAAGTATGCCTTTTCCTGTGGTTTCACTCAATATTTCTTGTGCAGGCATCGTCGGGTAGTGGCCCCAATGCTGGCACTGCAGACGATGATGACGATGAGTTTGGAGGATTTGGTGGGTTCGATTCGGGCAAGTCGGCTGCACCTGCAACGGCAGCAGCAAGTTCAACTGGCAGCGGTGCATTCGGTGCTTTTGCAGCGCCAGCAAGCACTGGCTTCCAGGTAGGTGTGCTTAGCATTGAACAGGGTATTTGTGTTGGCATCACCTTCGATTGCCGATAAACAGTTCTTTAGTTGGGACCTTCGGGAAAGACGGCTCTGTATTTTTACCGCTTTTCTGGCTCTGAATTTCGTCTGTAGTGTAGTAGCAGTAGCAGTAGCATGCTACAGACTGTGTGCTTGTTTTTTACAGCATGTGCTTGACACTGGCAGTTATGCAATCTGCTCTTGTAATCTCCTGAAGGGTGCATCAGCATCGTCAGCAAAGCCTGCACCCGCTGATGATGACGACGACGAGTTTGGTGGATTCGGCTCGTTCTCGACCCCGTCTACGGGCGCTGCCAGTGCTTTTGCTAGTGCCCCTGCACCGGCTGTGGCCGCAGCCCCGGCACCTGCACCGGTCGCTGCACCTGCCGCTGTTCCAGCGACTGCTGCCAAGTCCTTTGCTTCGGCACGTGAGGTACGCTTACAACTTAAGATGTCTAACTGAAATCCGGACTGGTGTGCACTGCCCATGACACTGGCTGTGTTGGCGTTGCCCGCGGGGGCATTCCCGTATTACACATAGCCGATGTACACTTTGTAACATTGTGAGATGCAACCAAAGAGGATTGCTGATGCTCAATGTGTATATCCGTCTGTACTTCACTTGTCATAGCTGTGCAATGATTGTGTTTAGCACCTTTGACTGTTATGTTTGTGTATCATATGGGTGCATGGATTGTGCAATGAGTTTTTGAAAAACACGTCTACTTATACAGTCAACCTCGTGAATAACGACCCAGGGTATACCAACAACTTAACGACACAATCTTCAGCCGTAGTGACCGTTTGACTGCATTCTTTCAACCTCGCCAATAACGACAAGTCGCGAGGAACAGCACTTTTCTCATGTGCGATCGAGGGTCGTTATTCGAAAGGTTGACTGGATGGTAGAGTTTAAGTTTGCTGCTACATTGTTGGTGGCAGGTGAAATCAAACCGCATCCAGGCGCGTACGCAGGGTCACCTCTACATTATAGGGGGGGGGGGGGTTCCAACCGAATCACAAACAATGAGTTTTAACCCTTCTAAAATTAAAGCCCTAGGAAATTTTCAAAATTCTGCATTTTTTTCGTGTTCCTTGGATCATAACTTCAGTTCTACTCCGTGCTCAATCTTGATAATCTTGGGCTTCCTGGAAGTGGAAAGGTATCCAGGAGAGGAAGAGAATGAGGCCTACCATGATAGCCAGGACACTGTAAACATGGTACATATGTACTTCACAAGTACAGTCAACTTCGCTTATAACGACACTCGGCGGGGCATCAGAAAAGTGTCCTTATTCGCGAAGTGTCGTCGTTATACCCGAAGTCTCATTATATGTATTACAGTTGGATGGGACTTTGCTCTGGGCATGGAAATTCTGTCGTTATTCGCGAATTGTCGAATTGCGAAGTTGACTGTATATCGAGCGCTAGAGTGCAGCGACAGTGCGAAAAATGCCCCGAACTTGCCAAATTTACCCAAACGCGTCCTGCTCCAGCTACAGTAAACCTGTCAAGGCAACCACCAATACGTCGAGTGTCCAAGGGGACCACTACCACCAGCACGAAGTATTATCACTTCCAGTCAAATGACCTTGGATAAGGAGACTACCTGTACCATGTACACAGCGACCACATTTTGAAGGTCCCTTGAGCGGTCGCCTTAGAAAAGTTTCACTGTACAGTATTTTCGTTTTCATCGATCGCAGAGTTTCGATTTTTTTCGCTGTGCACTCTTCAAAATATCACAATTGAAGCCCTTGCAAATTTGAGCAAGTCAGGGTGACAAAAAGTCTCAAATTCTCTCGATACTCAAGTCGCACTGTGCGCTCTTGAAATTGCCGAGATCGTAGCTCAACTTACGAATGATTTATCTCAAGAACCATTGATCGCAGCGCTTCACGAATTGTTTCTACCGACAGCTGCGAATTTTCTATTCGACCTGGATGTTTGGATTGTTGGATTTGAGCGAGATTTGACTGAGTTACGATCTGTTGAAGTTTTGCATTCTTGTCAGATCAACCACGCACCCTACCAAACAATGCCCCAAATCGTTGCTCGTTTGCAACATTTGGGGGTTTCCGGGCAACGGGACCCCCCCCCCCCCTTGCGCACGCGCCTGGCGTCACACGGACCTGTGCAGTGAATCATGCACCTTTGCCTTATCAATGGGGTTGGATTTCATCTTGCCACCCCTTTTGGGCCCATCCGGCCTTATCGATTAGTTTTCGCAGAACAAACAAGTTTAGATCCGCCTCTTTCAGCTATCAATATTTTTCAAAACGAAACTCCTCGACCCACCCACCCATAAACGAAATGTTTTCGTTCCGTATAGAAGATCGATGATTATGGGTGGCCCCTTACATGTGCAATACACCTGTCGAGGAATGAAATGGACACAATTCTAGTGCCTGATGTCTCAAAGCAGACGTTTAGCGGTTGTGTGCTCTACTTCTTTGGGCCAATTCAAGTTTTGCTGTGCTCTGGTTTGATGCTCCAGGCACTGACGACTAGCTTCCCAGCTCAATCATCGTCCCCGCTGTCCCAAGCTCAACCCTCAGGTCTTCAGTCGTCGCTGGCCAGTGGTGGCCCGTGGGCAGAGCTTGGTCGGGTCGGTGAGCGCCCGCTGGCATCCTTTGACAAGATGGCAACTCGGATTCGCTGTGACTTCCTCGGTGCTCTGAAGGTGAGTGTAGTGCATGGTATTCTTGTTTGCAGCCAGTAGTGTCTGTCATGTGTTGTGTGCTCTGATCAGGAGCTGTTTACTGTAAACCCTGAAGCTTTTGCGATCTGGAATCCTTAGCGGTGTTCGCGATGGGTGTAAAATTGAAAAGTAAGCCGGCGCGAAATGTACAACTGTAGTAAAGAAACTGAGAGCATTGACTCCAATCGCAAACGTCTCCAGAAGCAAATGTGTGCTGGCAAATGGCGGACTAAAACCGGCGCACATGTTTCCCGGTTTACAGTACATGTACGTGTCTCTGACTCTACTTTATCCATCGGGCTAGGTGTGGCTGTTGCTGGAGGTCATAGAAATGGGAGATGATGACTAAAGAACAGGGCATGGCAGCAGGCGTGATCTAAATGCAATCTGTCGCAGCTTGGTCACTTTGATTCTTGACCTACTGCTGATGGTCACAAGTTGCATGGCTTGTTTTCACAGCACATTGGTATGAACCAATTTCTTCTTGTTCCAGTCTGCATGCGTTGTTTTTGAGTTACATTGCTGTGTGGTTGCATGATGGCTTGCTTGTATGACTGTGAACACGCTACAGGTGGAAGGATCTCTGATTGGCGTACAATCAGGCCAACACCAGGTACCAGCCTTTGCAGCAGGCCTCGGTTTGCTGCAACCGTCCGGCAGCCCAGCTCTTTCGCATAGCACCGCCGTGTCGCCCAGCGGCGATGATCCATTCTCGTTGGACACGAGACCCGTGACGCCGCTGGATCTTTTCGGAACTAGTACGGCGTCTTCGGGTCGTGCCACCCATGACGATGGCTACCCTCAGCCGCACGTGCCGATGGGCGCTTCTGCTCTTCTTGACTTGACATTTGAGGCCAGCGCAGGTAACACCGGTGCGTCTGCAGCTACCGTTATCTCTGATCCACTGCTGCAGAGTGACCTGATGGGCTTGGATCTGACATTCAGTGCCGATGTGCCACCTCCGGTTGAAGAGGAGCTCCCGCAGTCTACGGTAACGAGCCAGCTGCCGAAGACCAAGGAGCTAAGTCCTGAGATGGAGCGCATGATTGATTCACTGCCTGACCTCTCATTCATGCTGTCCAAGGTGTTGATGTTTCCTGCTGTGTTGACATCTAATGCGTAGTTCTGCTATGGTCTCTACGCGTGTACATATCAGTCTTCCTGGATCTGCTATTTTCATATTTATTTTTAGTACCTGCTGCTCTGCATTCCAAACTCCCTCTTCCTTGTGTTTTGCAGAGAGCCAGAGACGCTTTTTATTTCATTGTTGTCGCTGAAACTGCACTTTACTTTGATGTGACACTCCCTCCATCTTTTGGCATGCTTGCCCCCTTGCAAGTTGTGTTCATGTCAGTCTAGTTCTGTTGGAAGCATGTAAATGCAGCTCCAGTTTTTGGGCAAATTATATAATTCAACTGAGTGAAGCACATTGTATACATATTTTTACCTAGGATTTTTGATTTCTTGTAGCTCACATCCGGAGTGTCTTGTACATTCAATTGCTATATGCACAAAAATGCGAATTTATTATTATTGTACACAACAACTAGCAATTTCCGATTAGGATTTTATTGCTGCTGATGCTGCTGCAGCTTTACTGCCGATTGTGGGGAAAAATATGCCAGTCGAATCTTGTTTTGTTTGTTGTAGATTTAACCAAGAATACCTAACCCCCCCCCCCCCCCCCCCCGAAGGGGGGGGGGTATGTGCTCTTGATCTAACATTACATGCCTCTCAAAAGTAGGAAAATTTGTCCGGTACAATACCGGTATCAGCAAGTGTGCAACTGACTTCTTACCCGGGTTAAGGGTCACACCGGATTAGGGATCGGGGGTGGGGGGGGGGGGGGGGAGCCCTTGGCACGTACATTGTGCGGGTGATCCTTATACCGGGATTTAATTTCCGGCCCAAGGGGGTTCCGAGGAAGCCTTAATTTTTTTCGCTCCAAACTATTTTTATGGGGTCCATCTACTCACAATAAATCGTTCTGCGCACCTTTTTGCCCATCCCTGTACAACTGAGTCCAGCTATGTCCGCGCAGAGTTAGGTAGATCCCTAACCCGGGTTCTACTCTACATCACAAATCTCCAGGAAAAGCACCTCCGTATCTGCAACATTCTGCAGAAGTGTTGGCGGACACTGCTGGATTCCGCGGAAATCCTACAATCCACGACATGGAATCAACGGAGGACAGTAGCATACACCCTATGTACTCAAAATAGGCCTTGGCAAGAGAACAAGTAACGTCAAGAGTACATAACCCCTCTTGGTAACGCCATGAACAAGAAGTACACCAGTGCTCGTACATGTACATGCAGCATGTGCTGGGCGATGGACAAGTAACTGCAGTACACATGGTACATCCGTATTGCATACCAATGCTGAACTGAGGTTCCCAAGCAAGCAGCATGAAGAGATGACCCAACACAACAGCTAGTGAACACATGGAGGGTCTGTCACTATTCCAAGTTCCATGCAGTCGGCACTAAGCGGTTGATAGCATGTACGCATCACATACTCATGAACCCTATATTACTAGCTGCTGCAAAACACAAGCATGTGATCCTGCATGTGGGTTCCATCATGAAGACTTACAAAGTAATAAGAGATTTGAATGTAGGAACTTCCGAAAATGTTGACAGAACCCTTGACAGCGCAGCATGTGCTCACACTCTTTACCAGTGCTCTGGTACTGTGTTGAGCAATTTAGCTTTCTTCAGGAGCAATCTCAGGGAACAAAACGTAAGATGGGAAACCCTCTCTAAAATACCAAATAAATAGAAAATATAATTATGGGAGATGACCGAAAAAAGAGGGCGGAGAAATCCTGGACAAACGCGGCTCAAGGAAGCTGGCAAAGAACAGCAGCAGTACGTTGAAGCTCACACCATGAAACTCCACTGTGTAAGCAGACATTACTTCTCTTGTTGGAGGAGTTCTGTGACCTACAATATATAGCCGTGCTGGATGTTTTGCCACCTACAGCATCCCATTGCACGAATCGCTCCATTGAAGTGGAATGGGGCTGGCCATGTTGCGGCAAATCATGAGCGTAGCTTGGGAAATGGCCAGCGCCATCGACATACACAGACCTGCTATGGCAACAAGCTCTCATGGGGCCTTCACCATCTCCCACACTTGTTGGAGTCAGAGACCTAGCAGGTGAGATATGGTCGTTGATCACTGTAGACCAGTGGTTTCTTGCAGGAGAATACAGGCTCGGTGAGCATGTTGAGGGCCATCATTACACTGAGTAGATAGTCACCTGACCCACTTGATGTTATGTGTACCAGTCTACCAGGCACCTGATGCATACCTAGTACCAAAATGAAAGAGGCAGCATTACGTGGTGGCCGGATGTCAGACTGGCCACTTCTCCTCTTCGAAAAGCACATTCCACGTGACGTGTGTCTGGTATATGTGAAGGGAACCGCCTTCATCTCACTTTCGATTCTCTTTCTGCGTGAATGAATCCGCATCCACACTCCTTTTCGCTGATGGCTCCGAAACTTCATCACCGCCACCACCCATAATAGACGCGGCGCGCTTGACCGCTGACACTGACTCGGACCCGGTGCTGGAATCTACGTGATTGGTGGCAGTAGATTGCGTGTAGTGGACTGGCTTCGATGACACTACAGCAGAGGGCAGAACTGACCGTGGGGGAATTTCACCGACAGGCACTTTTGGTGCAAACACTCCTGTTTGGTTCTCTCGGTCCTTTTCCAGCTGATCACGCTTCTCCGAGATCAAGTCTCGACGGGCTAATTCATCTGCACTTCTGAGAAATTCTGGTCGCTTTGTGTTCATCAGAACACTCATTGGAGAAGGCAGCTTTTCCTTGTCATTAGATAAAAGCTCTTTTTCTTGATTACGGGACTTTGTCCCAGTGGAAGGTGTCGTGATCTCCTCTACCTCATCCTCGGAAGAGGAACAATCTCCAGCATCAAAGAAGGATCCAAGGGACGACATGGCTCTCTTCACAGTTCAGAGTAGCCGTAGAGTTTCTTGCCAACCAAGAAAAAATGAAAACGTGATACGATCGAGTCGTACTTCTTTTTGTTCTGGTCATTGAACACTGAGCTGAAATCGTATTCAAAAGTTCGAATTAGCACGTGCACCCAAGTACACGGAGATATGTGACTATGACAACAGAAATGGCGTCTCAAACTTCTCATTTTGAGGCGATCAGGTGAAAATGTTTTCGTTGAGTTTTTTTTTATGTTCTGTTCACTTTGAAATTAGAAATCTGATCTTGCAGCTTGTTTGCAACTGGAAACACTGGTATTTGTTACAAGTAGGTTTCGAAGGTCGTATCATCCAAGACTGATCACTTTCTTGCCATTACTATCAGCATGTCTAAGCGTCGACATCTTGAGGACCAGGACGAGAAGCCTGCAAAGCTACCCAAGACATTACACGAACGTGAAACAGATCGGAGAGTCATCGTGGTGTTGGAGAAGGCCTCACTTGAAACTGTCAAGGTATGATCTGGATAGCTGTTCTTAGGTTAGCTTGTGCACATGCGACAAACCATCATGGGTTGTGCCTGTATGTTCTACGACTTATCCTAAGCTCTCAAGAATATTCCTACTGTACTAATGTCGAACATGCTGCATGTTCAAACTGCAATAATTATCACATTGCGAGTCAACTTTGGGCAGTACCAAGGGGTCGTATATACCCAGGACATGCCATGAAAAATCTCGAGCAATGCTTTGCATCACAACTCACGGGGATGTCCCTATGAAGAAACGGGTGGCAAATATTCACTGGCACGGCTAGTGTTTAGTACCACTGAACAAAATTGTACACATTTTGCTTCTAGAAACAAAGGGTGAACTCTCTTCCATCATGACCTGGATTCATTGAATTGATATCTCATTTTGAAGGATTCTCGAGAGGCATATGGATGCCTATCAAAGGGAGTCTCCTGGGGAAAGGAAAGGAAGGTGGCTGTTATGAGAGAGGGAGGAAGGGACATGGCAAGGTGAAAAAATAAAATACAAACAGGAACAGCAGAAGCTACTTGCAAACATTTAGTATACCTTGCACAGAATACTCGTGGTGCAGATAGTGTCTACGCACAGCAACAGTAAATCGGCTAGCGGATGTCAGACAGCGGATTTCTTCTGGCAGCTTATTCCAGGCAACACTGAGATGAAGTAGAGGGGATTGAGTGAAGTATGTACCAGACTTAGGGAGAACATAACTTAGAAGATGGATGGCGACTACTACGGGATACGGAAAAAGAGATATGTTGCAACAATGATGGGTATCGGGAAAAAGCGTGGTGGAAGTAAGCGAAAACGTGGTGGAAGTAAACGAGAGATTCATGCCCGGTTGAGTTTTGCCCTCCTGCGTGCCAGTGTTGCATGTCTCCGAGGTGCCCGCCGACCGATCCATTGCCATCACCTTGTCTATGCTTCTGCAGCGCTGGCGGTTGCTGAAGCTCGTACTGTGATCTGATCACAGGAACAGTATTGTGTGGGGAATGAACGGATTCTTGTCGTCACGTGTACAGTGTGTTCCTATCTCATTGCTTTTTCACCCTCCTGTTCTGGCATGATCCATGTTTTATTCCCGTAGCTAAGCAAAAGACGTTACTTCAGTAACGTCTTTTGCTAGCCAGGGTCCACACAGCTTTAATTCCGTGTTTGTTTGTTTGTTTGTGCCATCGGCATGCCTGGCGCTATCCCGTACCTGCCCTGTACCGTACCATCAAAGACATCAATACGGTGTTGTACGGTGTAAGGATGTCGTATAGCATGTCGTACAACAGTACGATGAAATTGTGGGAGAAACCAGCGACTGCTTGGGAACGATGAACATTCAGTCTTATTGTGAGTGAGAGTCAGGCCAAGTTTCTGAAGATCAGTAGCGAGTGCTATACTGGCAGTTATAAAATTGATACCCATGCTGTGCGAAGTGCGCATACATGCTGCAATGCAAGAGGTCTTTTCATCGTTTTGGGAGTCCCTACATTCGATTCTTGGTTAAGGAATGTGCTGTAAGTCTGAGCATGTTCAAAAATTTTTAACTGCATTGTATACCATATGTAGTTTTTGACATGCTCCTGGGCTTGTTCAACTGAATGTTTTTTTAGGTCGGCACCAAGTTTGAATTGCTGAATTGTGATGATCACAAGCCGCAGTTGAAGAAGCTCGGCAGAGAGCCCGGAGAAGCGCGTCCAGACATCACACATCAGGTGAGAATTCCGATCATGCATGCCCGCCAATTTTAGAACGGTTGAATTTTTGCCCCATGACCAACAGACTGCTGTGCATTTTGATTTCTGGTCATCGATTACTAGTATGACATTGCCTCGGTGGGTGTATGTGTCTACTAGTCTTTGTTTGTTTGTGTGCATGTTTGTACATATGTATGCGTGTGTGTGTGCTCTGTTTGTGTGCGTGTAGTGCACTTTAAGAATTCTTCTCTTGTACTGTGTTTTCTCGTAGTGTTTTGGCCAGTTGTGGACGGCTTATCCAGATAATGCACTGTGTGTTGACTTTGCATGTTTGTGTTGTGATTGTGTTGTTCGTGTAGTGCCTGATGATGCTACTTGACAGCCCGCTGAACAGAGCTGGCCGATTGCAGGTATACATCCACACGACCCGCAATGTTCTCATTGAAATCAATCCGCACACAAGATTGCCGCGAACGTTCAGTCGATTCTGTGGACTTATGGGTGAGTTGACTATTTGCTATCTTGTTTTGCGTCCACTTTATGATCTGTTCAGTCTGATGAATGAGATCACCGCTCTGCAAGCATGCCGCTGTATAGCTGCTCTGCTGTTGTGTTCTTTCCGTCTTCTATACAGTACAACTGCTGCACAAGCTGTCCATTCATGCTTCTGATGGACCACACAAGCTGCTCAAGGTAAGCGCATCTCACAGCTCTGATTGAAGTGTATCGCACAAATTCAGTTGTCGTATACCCAGGTGCATGCCCCCACCCACACTGCTTTGCCGAATGAAGGGAGTTCAGTTTAATTGAACACACATTTGTACATGCTATGATTCTTTTGATCTTTTCCTGCAGGTTATCAAAAATCCAGTCACAGATCACCTGCCGACGAAATGTCCCCGAATCTGTAAGTTACACATTGAATATCTAGAAACCCGGCATCGGAAATTGTTCGTTAAAGATACCAGTATCTTTCTCTTTCGTTTAGGTAATTTCGAGAATATATTCCTTGAATTTGATCCTGATGATCCTGGTTTCTTCGTTTCCCCTCTGTTTGCACAATACCAGTGATGTCTTTTGCTGCGGACGAGTGTGTACATCCACACCACATGGTGCCGGCCGACTCGCCCGTGGTGTTCGTGATTGGTGCTATGGCTCACGGAAAGGTAAGTTGGTGGTGCTGCTCATCGGTTTTATTTTGTTTGATGAAGAAAGGAGAGGGCCTGTGAGAATCTGGGAATTTTAGACAGAGGTCAATTCTTATTTGCCAGAATACTAGTACAAGTAGCCAGGTAGTCTTTGCGCAATTGGAGGCACGTTGGTTATGTTGGTTGCTGTACTGTGAAGCACACATTGATGCGAACCTGATGGTATCGTGGAGTGAGAGCTGTTTGCTATGGCAATCACAATACAGTCAGACCACACTTATCCGGTCCTCTTTTATCTGGATCCCTCGCCATCCAGAAGAAAATCGTTGGTTACCGACTTACAGCATAATTATGTCATGCATACATACAGTATGTGTGTTCGATTATCAGGTTCCCTCACCTATCCGGATATTTTTGCGGAAAACGGATGTGGTTCAGCGAGGTCTGGCTGTAGTATATCCCTGTCATCATTGCCATTGGGTGCAAAGTGATCACTTACCAGAGAGAGGTCCAACAGGCATGTGCACCTGAGAATCTAGTGGAGCAGATGATCGAAAAGAACCCAATCGTCGATAGGAGAGTTTGGCCGGGATGGAGGGTCCGAGGAATTATCTATGAAATATCAGCGCCACCACATAGTGATCTGGTGAGTTCCCACAACGCTACCCCATCACTATCATCGCATATCGCTCGTATGGACTGCTTGCAAGCACCCAAAGTGTGTACTTCGCACTATTCGTACAGTTCCAGCAGTAACATTGGCCCTCTGGTGCGCAGGATGTTCCCAGATAGTGAAATTGCAGGCAACTTCTCTTGTGGTGAACGCAAATGCGGCTATCACTGTACTTATGGCCTAGGTACATACTTCCAAGACCTGCTGCAGAAGCAAGTCAACAAGGCAGAGTCATTCGTGGTGCTATTTGACGAGAGCCACAATTATTTCAAGACGAAAGCCAACCAGATGGACGTTCACGTACATCTCTGGAGTTGCGCTCAAACAATGAATCTATTGTTGACATCTGCAGCTGTGGCGTACACGTTGTGCACAGGGCTTTCCAGGATGGACCTAGAACGTCTGGATGGGGCCTGATTGCGCTGTTGAAGGCTCTCTTCTATTGTTTCAAGGACAGCCCTGCAAGACGAGAAGACTTCACAAGAGTTACAGAGTCCGGTGTCTTTCCTCTGAAATTTTGCTCGCACCGATGGGTAGAAAATCTACCTGTAGCAGAGAGAGAGCTACAAGCATGTGGTACAGCATCCTGGTTTTCGTTACTCGTGGAAACGGCAAAACCCTGAAGGTCCTGGCTTGTGACTCGAAACTGATGAAGCATGTTTGTGCTGCTGCAAGCAGGAAGAGTCGAAGGCGGGGAATTTAGTTATGAAGACATCCTGAAAGAGTATCCGGGTGTTCTCATCAAGCTGAAGTGCTTTGCTTCGATTGCAAGAGAGGTGCAGCCATTCCTCACCAAGTTTCAGACTGACTGCCCAATGGTGCCATTCCTGCGTAGTGCTCTGGAGTCCATGCTACGTAGCCTCCTGAGCCGCATTGTGAAGCAGGATAACCTCAGTGCCAGCTCCTCCACGGTTCGCCTGATGGCCATCGATATCATTGATGAGTCAGTTCTTCTGCCATTAACCAATGTCCACATGGGATTTGCTGCAGAGGAGCATGCACGGCAGCTTATCAGTGGCAAGAAGAGCAGCCAACTTCAGTGCCGCGATCTGAGAGCCCAGTGCAGGGACTTTGTTGTTGCATTGGTAGTAAAGTTGAATGAAAAGTCACCACTCTCCTTTCCACTGGTTCGTTCTGCCTCCTGCCTTGACCCACGCAAGATGGCTGTGTCTTCGGGGAAGGAAGAGTGCATGAAACTGATGAAGTGTGTTTGTGCTGCTTTTTAACGAAGCAGAAAGAGTCGAAGGCGGGGAATTTGGTCATGAAGACATCCTGAAAGAGTACAGCAACTTCCTCTCCTCGGTCATCCCTCTGAAGAGGTCTGCATATGCTGCATTCGATCCGACCTCAGCAGATGCACGCATTGGCCACCTGCTTTGGACCGACATGGCCAGCAACCCCAGGTATGCGAAGCTGTGGAAGCTTGTTCGTAACCTCCTGCTACTCTCTCATGGGCAGGCTACTGGCGAGAGAGGTTTCAGCATGAACCGCCAGGTGGAGGCTGACAATCTGTCAGAAGCTGGGTTTATTGCACGGCGCTCAATTTGCGACCGCGTTGCTGCAGTTAGTGGCATTGAGCATGTTGATGTGTCATCACCTGCTATCCTCCTGGCTGCCAGCTCTGCACGCCAGGTATACCAGCGACGCCTGGACAAGCAGTGTAGAGAGGAACAGGACACTGCTCAGTCCAGGAAGCGGAAGGTTGCGGAGGAGGTTGGCGCGTGCAGAAAGAAAAAGAAGCAACTGGAGGACACCATCTCATCACTCTCTTTATCTGCAGATGAGTTCTCGGAGAACGTGGAACAGACCGGCGACCTCACTTGGGTGTGCAAGTCCAACAGCATGCGTCGTACTATGAAAACGAAGGCTGCGGAGCCTCGTTAATGCTCAATAGAACTGAGCTAGCATTGTCTTTTAGTGTGTTTTTTTTTTTTTGGTTTTCTCTCTTTACTGTGGCTCTCCCACCAATTACCTTTTCATTCTTTTTTCATTTCTAGTTTTATTTGTATCTTTATGGTCTTCTTCTTATATCTTTTAGTTATGGTCATCACACTGTGACTCTCTTAATGCTCTTGATGCTCGCTCGGTCACATGTACGGTGCCCGTAATAAAATCGTTTCCTATGTCTTTAGTGTGTAGTTTCTGCCGTAGCGTTACGTGCTGTTCATATAGAATAGGTTCCGTGCGGTTGTTTGCTGTACGATTGGTCGCTTGAAAATATCCTGAAAAGTCCTCAAATCTTGGTTTTTTGTGTCGCAAAATATGCTTGAACTTCAAATGTCTGTGTGCGGACCCTGATCTTGCTCATGTCACATGGCCTTCAAGAGCTCACGCTGCCTGGTATGCCCCTCTATGTACTGTCCTGTCCAGGTCGAAATTGATTATGCGACGCGAGAGGCCAGTGTCAGTGAGTACCCATTGTCGGCTGCTATTGCTTGTACGAAGGTCTGCTGCGCGGCCGAGCTCAAGTGGGGCATCCTCTAAAGGAAGAAGGAAGCAGCAAACAACCCGCTTTACGAGATGGTCAGTGGGACCCGCGTGATGCAGTGTAGTCACATGTATCTTATACATAGCTGTACATATGTGTAAATATGATGTAAGACAAGGTGTAACGTTAGACGCTGCTTGGATTGTTATCTTGCTTCCCCTCTGTGGCTAAAACCTTACCACTGTACATACTGTAGCCAGGATTGGATTGCATACCGTGTTTTACATATTATTATTTTTTTGTGCTCTACTGCTGGCAACACTTTTCAGAGCTGTGCTATAACTTGGTGATGACTTGAACATTCTTTCAACTTTTGATGGGCAAGGATGTGTGAGGGAGGATGGCAAGATCTCAGCCTGTCCTGATCCACAGCCAGCAGTAGCTGCAAGATTCTGATTTAGGGCCACATGCCACACACTCAAACACGCATGTTCAGGTACAAGTACATGTATACTCTCTGAAGTCCATGCTCATGAGTAAAGTTTGGGACGATGCACATGTAGCAGTCCAGTATTCACAGGTACAGATGTCAATAACAATAGACTGTTGGCACTGATGCTAACAAATAATGGTGGTAAACTAGCGCAACTGCTGATGGGTGCTAACAAGAGTACATGAAAACCAGCATGTGCAGCTTGGGGCTTTTTCTACTATGGGTGTCTGTCACGGCGGAAAATTACATTATATTTGGTGCAGATCTGAGGCGGGAAGTGGCGTAGTGCGTACAACTGAGCTGGCAGTTGTGCAGAAAGAAACCTGCTTGTACGCACTACATCACTAAAATAATGATGTAATCACGGGATTTCGCAGTGACAGCAACCCATCCAAGCTGCACACTCTGGTTTTCATGTACTCTTGTTGCTAAGTATCCAATACTGTTGCTGTTAACAACAGTAAAAATAAACTCTCTGGGGCCCTGGGAGTTTATTTTTACTGTTAGTGCTAGCCTTAGTTCACACCCCTCTGATCTGGAAGTACTTCACACCAAAGCTGGAGCTGTGGTCAGCCATAGGGACGGTGATCGGGGTACTGGACCCGCCCTTTTCAGGTGCTAATAGGGTATTCACACAACAAGCAAATCCACGTGCACCGGAACGTTGCTATGGTATTTTTTACCTGTGAACGAGAAAAGTGGCTGAAAAGTGCAAGCGAGCTGGAGGCCCACTTTCACGATAATCGTGGTGTGCACGAGTACATTTTAACCAAAAAGCGCGAAACTAGACTTGATTTTTACGCGGCTCTTTTCAACATGATAATTATTATATGCGTGTTTTGAAAATTTGAAATACCCATGGCTACTGGTCGGTGAAGCATTCAAAAATGCAAATGTGCCTGTCGTCGAGTGCAGCCGTGTGAATCCACACAGTCACTTTTCTCGTATATCACTCCCTGTAAAACGTGCAAGCGCCTGTCGTGTGAATCGCGTATTAGGCTATTGCTCGTCACTCCTGCAGTCTAGGCGGGCTTTTTATTTTATTTTTCTACGAAATCCACATATCTCCATTCTCCAGACACTGGGGTGAATAATGGAGTGTGGTGGTGGGGCCCATTATGCTCGGCCGACCAGAGGTCTCGGCTTCATAGCTCCATAGGCGCAACAAAAGGAGATCGGGTGGGGAGGATGAAGTTGAAAAAGAAAACAGAAGAAAGAAAATGAAAAGATTATATTGCTCAATGAGCAAAAGAATAAGGTGAGTATTGACATAAACGCTGTTAGACTTTTAAATTCAACAGGAGACTGTCTGTGAAGGGAGGTTAGGTCCAAGCAGCGTAGGACACTATAGTGTACCCTCTTACTCGCGTATGCTACGAGTGGCCCAGTGCCAGTTTGTTCTGAGGAGATGGTGATAAGCTGCTGTCTTGAACTTTTGGATGTTCTTTGAGTGAAATGGGTGGGGAATTGATACCATCGCCCCTTCTAGCATTTATGTGCTCCTGTCCTCCACCCCTGATCATCTATACATCGTCCGCACTCATCTCTTTAGCCAGTCCCCACTGCCAATGCCCGCGGCCAGTCCACATGGCCAATCATTGCAGCAAGTCCCTATGGCCAGTTCCTGTGGCCAGTCCCTGTAGCCAGTCCAAATGGACAGTCCCAGTCCTTGTGTAGTCGTATACCAGTAAAACCTTTCTGCACTTATCAGCATTGCACGCACGTCAAAATATCTTTTGAGGCATCACAACGTCTGAATTTACCCCAGCCGTGAAACCTTGGTAACACACGCGACCCACATGCACCCTGACATTTTGTCTTTGCCGTTCGCCAGTAGTACAAAAGTAAACCGCAGGCCAAAGTTTTTCAAAGAGGCAAATGATGCATGATTTAGCCATCTGCATGTGAGAGCAACAACTATCGTTCGATTTCTTTCTTGAAAACCCCAATCGTCCAAAGTATCTCACCTGTCAACTTTTGTTGGTTTACAGTGCTAGTAGCCCTAAGCCTGTCGACTGTATCTTCCATTACATGTAGCCCTTGGCGGATTATGCTGGCATAATCTTCGGATTTTGTCTAAAAGTTATGACCAGGTATGAAAGGACTTCTGAGACCAGATGGTCGGCATAACCTTGCGATGCTGGCTGAAGATGAATTCTCCAGGCATATTTAGGCTTGTTACAGGAAATAACCTGGTGAATGTTACCCCTTATAAGCCGTGCTGTCATGGTGCCAGAGTTGTTGTAACGTTGCAAAGTGCAACAAGAGTGCAAGGGTAGAGTATGGCGCCATCATTGGCATAATGTAGCATAATGGCACTGGCATAATGGAAAGCAAAATTCAGCAATTAACCGAGCATAATCCGCCAAGGGCTGTGTGTACTGAGTTCACCATACCATTAGATTGGACCGCAGCATAGTATAGCACCATCATTGGCATAATTCCAGCACCATGTAACATAATCACTGCCATAATCTGGGCATAATGGAAACAGAATTCAGCAATTTACCGAGCATAATCCTCCAAGGGTTATGTACCTCCATCACGTCAGTACCGGTATGCTGCAAAAGGTAATGCACACAACGTAAGTACTGTTGATCTTCTGTTTCTCTGAAATGAGCCTGAACTCTGAAGGCACACGAGAAATGAACGAGTATACATTTGTCCGACAGTCCATAATTTTACCTTTTGAGTTTTGACCCCATACCATGGGCCTAGCCGGCCTATAATATGGGGCAAGGTCGTGAAAAGTTGCGGAATAGTTCATGAAAATGAAAAAAGTTGCAAAAGATGCCATTTCTTCCAAAACAACCGAAGGTTGCGAAAAAAAGTGGTGAGCATCTTTGGGAAGGGGCTATCGCCGTAACGCCGAGACCACAGGTCGGCTCTTCTTGGTTTGCCTCACCAGCACAGGTTCCATCAGGGAGTAGTACAACACTACTCCCTGGTTTCCGTCTTCGAACCCCTGCTCTTGCCATTGTGGTGGTTTCCTGTTACTTCTCTCCCCTCTTCTCACCAGACTCCAGTAGGTTGTGCCCTCACTCTTTAGCAGGGAGTTGTATAGTCTATACAACTCCCTGCTCTTCAGTAACAAAGTTGACAGCTTTTGCTTCCAGTGGTGCATGGTACCGAATCCGAAGCTGGGGACTTTGTTGCCTGGTTCAGCCGAATGCTCTCCAAACAATCCAGATCCGCCGGGGCCCGGGGGCGATCTCGGCGGTGAGGTGGGTAGTACACTCCATGAAACAGCGGTCTTGCGTGCAGAGTTCTCCACAAAGTAAGTTGTCGAAAGACAAATAAATCACCATGTCGAGCAGGTAGAGCCACCAACTCCAACTCCAAATCGCGCATGCATTTCATGCTTGGCCAGAGCTAGCATGCAGTAGATGGCTGTGAATAGCACCTTGTAAGTATTAGTTGTAGAGCCTGCATGTGGTCACCAGCAGTGGGCATATATTAGTAATATAGTGCGCTGGATGAATGCCTTCGGCCACCGGTGACGCAGACCGAAGACGAAATCAGCTAGGGAATGCAGCGTGAGGATGTGTTGCTGCAACATTGGCAAAGCGCTCAACCTGGCTGGTCCATGCTTGGAGTTGAACTGTCGCCTCCATGATCCAGCTAGACGTGCATCGTAGTAGCTTTCGCACCAAATCAAAATGTTCACTCTCGCTGTCTGCATGTGACGTCCATGATCTCCGAATGACATTATGTGTAGGCACGGCTGAGAAAGTGAAAGTGAAAGTCTGTCTGAGTGCCGCCAAGTGCAGTAGTGCGGTGCGTCGCATAATGCAGTCTAGCCCGCACGCGCTAGCTCGTGATTGGCTGTTCCCGTAACAACAATCCTTGTGACTTGCATGTGATAGCAGTAGTCGAGTCGACGGTCGTGCATCTTGTCACATTTTCATGACTTTTGTGTTTGTGAGGCGTGAGGCCAGGGCAAGGGGTCTCTTCGCCTTCGCCTTCGGTGAGCCATCGGTTCGGCCGCCGTGGTCCGGAGTCGGCTGGTTGTTGCTGGGGCGCGGGCATGGAAAACTCAATCACTTCCACACCTGCAGGCTGCACTGGCTGCAGTGAGTGGTGCAAATCTCAGTACAGTTACTGCAGACTACAATAGTACAGAGTGCTGCACATCTGCTCACCTGCCAGGCTTTTGAACTCCTTGTAGCTTGTACTATAAATTGTATAATGTATCATCAGACATCACCACTGCCACTGGGCATGCAGTGGGACACACGTCCCACTCCCAGGCATGAATCAATGCGCTAGCACCCTGCACTTCGTGTCTTGGCTCGATCGCAGACTCCAGCGCTCAGCCGCGAGCCGTCCAGCCTCCACTGGCTCCAGCCTCCACTCCACTCTCCAGGTCTACCACGGGATGACATGTACACACACACGTAACACAGTCACTACACTCTACACACCTTTCACACGTCTTTATCAACAAAGTCATTACTACACTCTACACGCACTGCATGGCTACACGTACACTGAGTCTGTCAACAGCTCAGTACACCAGGTAGATCTACACCGTATCACTCATTCACGGTCTAACTGGTGACGTGTAGTCTACCGTGCATGCACGGTTTGGAACAGCGATGTGCGTCTGCTCACACTTTATTTTATTTTTACAATAGTTCAACAATGTTGCTTGTTGTTCATTGTGATTGCAAGTTGTTCGGCCCGAATGGACCACGAGAAAGGCAGCTGAGCTTGTGATTCTGTCTTGTACAGTATCGTTGTCTTGGTCTGGTTGGCGTGGTCAGTGTCATGGATGTGGACGTGAAACACCTCGTACGATTCTTTGCTGTGTGCGCTGTTGGCGATGAATTGAAATCATATTTGACTGAAGGTAAGCACAAGAACTTTTTTGGATTATCGTATGCCTCTGGCTCTAGCTCTATTTAAGGTATCCTAGGGGTGATGCACGATAGGCACACGGGATGTTGTTCACGGCGTGCGTCGGTTTGTGCTCATGAAATCGAACTACTCTCTATCTCTCTATCTCTCTCTGGGTACAGATAATGAACGTGCACCATTGGAGCGTGCATACAGTCCCGACGTGATCTGTCACTTCCCCAAGGAACGGAGCGAGCACAAATTCAATAAAGACGCCAGTCGGGTATGTTGTAGAAGCGATCGAATATTTTTTGGTATGCCATAGGCACAGTGCAGTGCTATGATTTCTTTTCTGACCGCTTTCGACTTGTGTACTTGTGGTACCATGTGTTGGCAGAGTGTTGACAAAGTGTTGACATTGTGTTGTACAGTAATGCAGTAATGTGCATGTTTGTGTACAGTATAGCCGTGTAGGTCGACCTGGTGTCACCTACACTATCTTGATTGGATCTGTGCGTCACTGCACGAGGTCACGGGCTCTCGCTATCACGGAATCATTGGATAACGTCTACAGTTATCTAACTACTGCAATTTTGAAATAATTATGATACAATAAACAGCACACAATGTTTACAACACAGCTAATAGCATTGCAACCCATGGATGCAACATGTAGCTTATAGTCTAGGGAATTCACATGATTTTCTCATGTTTACAGCTGGCCATTTCTAAGCAGATTTTGGAAAGCTATGGGGTAAAACAAAGTAGCAGTCGAAATTTTGAGTGGATATCTTGAAAAATAACAGAGTTATGGTGATTTGAAGCCGCGGTGATTTCATCATGAAAGTATACATGGCATGGCACCAAAGGCTTCTTCCGACCAGCCCTAGCAACACATAGCAACCAATGAACTTCACCAGAATGTCTTGAAACTCCACACAAGGAGTAAACACAGCCTGTAGGATACCAAAATGAGAATCAATTTTCAAATTCAGTTACAGACTTTCAAGTTCCGTCCATAGCAACGGCTCTGACCGCATACATCGGATATGGATACTAGGAAAACCAGGAATATATCATTGCAGGAAAGATAATTCTGACGGCCATGTTTTTAGACGATCATGTAACTCCTGGAAATGGAGTAAATTCGACGGGGTTCGCGTACCGGGCAGGTCAAGAACAAGGAGTCGTACAACTCCCTGGTCAAGAACCACCTTTCCGCTTCCGTGGGACGCCACCACCCCATGATCAGGCGTCAGATGCGGAAATGGAGTAAGTCAGGTGTTTTATGGTGCAACACTTAGTGCGCGCTTTGGAGCTGGCTCCAACTCCCCAAGGTCCGGTCAGAATCAGCAATGCCGGGTGCCCGCGCAGACCTTGCCGGCCCTGTTGCGGTGGCCGAATCGGTGATGCCAGCTCTGTGGCCCCAAATGCCTTGCCATCGAAATGGACCTCTTCCCACTTCCTCAGGCACTCTTGGGCTTGGTCCGCTAATCCGACTATATAGTGGAGTCTGCAGAAATAGTTGTTCATCATTGTTAACTTGCTCTGCTGCTCCGATGTCAAATCCTCCCATCCACCAACAACACTTGGCAATACTTCAGCACGGTATTCCTGCAGCAGTTCGTTGAATTGTTTCTTCTGCACTATGCAGCGGTCACTCATGGTATTGATGATGCCTTTCAAGATCTTCTCTGCAATTTTTTTCAGATCCGAAACCTCCAGTGTTTTCCTCATTATCCTGGGCCTCTGCCGGCAAGGGCACTGTCTCGGCGCTTCACCTTCCTTGTGGCATTCCGGATCTTATCCGCTGCCTCTTCACAGTCTCCTCCAGAGCATATTTCCTTTTGTTCACCGCAGCAAGTTCTCCTTCCATGGACACCAGTTCAGCAGCCATCATCTCTTCAGTGGCTTGGTCACAACTGGACATGGTGGGTTTGCTCTCAGCTTCGCTGCTTGATCCAGCTCTGGACCCGGAGCCTGCTTCCTCTCCAGGTGAAGGCTCTACTACCTGCTCAGAAAGCAAATGCCACTGCTCTTTGTTTGCTTTCAGGAGGTAAGTACATTTGTCTTTCACTCTGTTCACTTCGCAGGACACTGCCTTCGAATTTAAAGTTGAACGTTCTCTCCCAGATATCCCTTCCAGCCATGTTGTGCAAGCCTTGAACGTCAGTTTCTCCGTTTCTTTCAATCGGAAAAGCTCCAACACAGGACCATTGGACAAGCTCTCAGCACTACGCTTCAGCGACCTAAATGCATCATTGTTTTCCACTGAACTTAGCAGCGAACTCCGAGTCAAACCCAGCACTTTACACAGATCTCCAACTATGTCCTCGCTGCTGTCACCTGTCTCCATTTCTGTGTGACTTGCCATCGTCCAGGTAATTTTGCAGACTTTTGCTTCTTACTGAAGTTGCAGGACGACTCGATCTTACTAAATTCCAGGGCGCTCTATACACGAATATGAGAGTTTCCCTGCCGAGCGACCAGAAGAAAGCACTGAAAAACACGATCGAAAAATTTCCTCCGGAACTTTGGACATCTGAAAACGGTTCAAGCACGGCAAGCGACACACCAAACGAAAGCTGCTGTCTTCACGAACCAGGAAATGGCTGTCTTCTTCTTCTTGCTGAAACATTTGAGCCTGTAGCGAAACATTCAATTGTATACAGTGACATCACATGCACTGTTGTTTTCAACTCTACACAAAGTACACAATGATGTCCTTTGCATAACATCTGGGGATCATAATTATGAGACATTTACACAAACTGTGCAATGGTAGAGTTGTTTTTGGACTTTGACATAAACAGATTTCTTTTCATGATTCGTGCTCTCTGTTGTTCTTCTTCGTTGCATACTGCAGCTGTCTTTGCCACATGGTGTACGCTTCTACACCCGGGAAGCTGTACCACAGACTCCAACCTTTCACCCGTTTGTCATCACGGATGAGTTAGGTGCGCGCTCATATTGCGTGTCTTTGCTCTTCTACCAGCAAGCACAGGATCCGGACATCATCGAGAAGTTTGCCAAACTGCAGGTGCGGCTGTGAACTGCAAGGCTAAACTAGAATTCAGGAATTTGAATGTAAAGCACAGCATATCTTGATCTGTATCAAATATCTGGGTACTTCTTGACCTCATTGTGGACTATTTGGCAGGAAATACCATCCCTTGGTCCTAGCTGCAGTGGTTCTCTGGGGTTGACAGGTGGAAGCCTTATCTGAGTGGTTGCCTTGACACTGAGGTTTCACCGTGTCTGTGTTTGCACACTTCAGGATGAGTTTCTCTCTGCACATCCGGACCATGCTGGAAAGGTGACCTGGAAGCGCGGCGATACCCTCATGCAGGCCAAAACTCTTCTCCTGGTGTTGAGCGGCCCGTACAGTATGTTTGGTCGGCACATCCTGGAGCAAATGTTAGCTTGTGGCCATGCTGAGGGTGGTGAGTTAGTGCATGGCATGCCTGCCTGGCTGTATGTCCAT